CTAATTTTGCCCATATTGAATTTTGATTACTATCATATCTTTAGTAGCACTCCCATGATTGAGACGAAACGATTGATGTATGAATCAACAAAATCGGTCCAGGCGTTTGGTCTCTAGTGTGCCACAAAGGAACAAACATACATATATAGACTGTTAAACACATAACCCTGTCTGCGCGTCGCGCTTCGCGCTCTTGCATTGCGCAGCCGGGTAAAAAGATGCAAGTCCTGGGCCGTAGTTAGAGTTGTATCTAAGATACGGCAACGGTAATAATAGATAGGGCATAAGCAGGGACGTGCCGCCCTTCGCAGCCTGCCGCCGCCTCGTTTTACTGTAGGTGGCAATGATATTTAAAGGTAGGGTATGACCCCATAATGCTCCTTTCTAGCTACGGCCCTGGGTTAGTCTAGATAAGACGCAAATCTGTGATCTTAGCTTGCCGGAGGACTGTTCGACCTTAGGTTTTGAACGAAATGTAGCATGTTCTAATCCTATCTGAAATAACTCCGACGGCATATTTTTTCTAGTAAATATTATATGGGTGTGCATCAGACAGTCCCATGTGTAATATCTGAGCTGGGTGTAATGAATTTCGCCAGAATCGGCGTCTGGTGGTAGGTACGTAACGTAGATATTGCATGGTGTCCGATGGAGCGGCACGGCCGAGCTGTGGGAACTGGGTTACCTGCGCCTGCGCCTGATGCGCGCGGTATACGAGTGCTGAATAAAAATCTTCGCCATTTCATAATTACGCATTGTCATCCAATTATTAAATATGATAGCGCCAACAATACAGACGTTAAAAAACGCTAATGCTGTATCTTTAAAAAATACGCGTACCTGTCTTCTATCACAAGAGGTATCAAACCGGTAAAACTCGAAAGATTGTATCGTATTGTATATGTATCTTTGTAAAAAAAAGGAGTATTGTTTTAACCACTCCAATTAGCCTAGCCCCAAAGTAGCTCTGTCAGCAACTGTCAGGTTTGTGCTATGGGATACTAGGGTACGTAACGGATACAATACCTGTACTTATACAGTTTTATCTAGAAAGACATATAATCAATCAAAAATCATTTATTAAGCTACAAAACTTGACTTAAACGCTAGTATTCATCATATGAAATTATGCCACCGGGATCCGAACCCGGGACTACGCTGCTCACACCACGGAAGCAGTAGGTATATTAGATAGCTGCGTTCTGCTCCCGCATGATAGTATGGGGAAGACACTTGCAAGAGTATCACTAAGGCCCGTATTATAGAAAGATTCTCAGTGATTGGTCTAGTCTTGAGCATAGTTAGAAAGGGATGTCGCTATATATAGCACATAGCAATATCCCTTTCTAACTGTACTCAAGTAAAGATCAACTCTTAGTTGTCATTCTGTAATACGGGCCTAAGTGTACCAATCTTGGATTAAGAAAATCCGCTATGCTCATATATCAGGTGTGGGTTTCCATGTCCATGATGGACCAGGAGAGCTTCATAGAAGTGTTGTTCTTATTTGGGATCAGCACGCAGTATGATGGATGGATGTGAAGGTGAATTTTATTCGACATAATATAAAGCGTAAAACGTTTGTACGCCGGGTTTTATGGTGTCGGCGACTCGAGAGGTCCCGGGTTCGAACGCGAAGGTTCGCGCTTGTACCAATGCTCGTATTCTTTGGGGCGTGTGCCGGAGACTTGGAGAGATGCTAACGTGCAACCGGTGCCCAAAAAAGGGGATCGCTCAGACCCGGCAAACTATCGGCCAATAGCAGTCACCTCAGTTTTATGTAAAGTTCTAGAAAAGGTCCTTAATAACCATCTGACCCGCTACCTAGAGAATCACTCCCTGATTAATGATCGTCAATATGGATTTAGACCGAAACGATCGACTGGTGATCTTCTAGCGTACTTAACTCATATCTGGGGTGAGGCTATCGACAAGCGTGGCGAGTCGTTGGCTATCAGCCTTGACATTGCCAAGGCGTTCGACAGGGTCTGGCACAAAAGCCTTCTCTCCAAGCTTCCGGCATACGGTCTGCCAGCCCAGTTCTGTTCTTGGGTAGCTGACTTCCTGCATGAGCGTAGAATTCGTGTCCTTACGGATGGTAGCAGTTCGCGGTTCATGTCAGTGAATGCCGGCGTTCCCCAGGGCTCCGTCCTATCCCCCACTCTCTTTCTGCTGCATATCAATGACTTGATTCCTCTTGGGAATATTCATTGCTATGCAGACGATAGTACAGTGCATGCGGGGTATCTCGGACAAGCAGCGGCTGGGCAGGCAGTAACCAGGGAGAAACGGGAAAATCTTGTCATTGAACTCAATCAGGCTTTGGACCACATTTCCGAATGGGGTACCAGGAACTTGGTTGGGTTCAATGCCAAGAAAACTCAGGCTTGCGCTTTCACGGCAAAAACATCGCCATTCCTTCCCCTTCCATCTCTTCAGGGCACAACACTACCGCTGCAGAGCAACATTTCCATGCTCGGTATGGAAGTTCGCTCAGACCTGAATCCAAAGGACTACATCGAAACCGTGATCAAAACAGCTTCACGCAAACTCGGAGTCCTGAACAAGGTGCGGCGTATTTTCACGCCCGATCAACTGTGCTTGTTGTACAAAACGCAAGTGCGGCCCTGCGTGGAATATTGCTCGCACCTCTGGGATGGCTCCGCCAAGTACTTGCTCGATGCTTTGGATAGGTTACAGCGGCGCGCGATCCGCATCATAGGCGATGAGGAGGTGACTAAACACCTTGAGCCTCTTCAATTACGCCGTGACGTGGCGTCACTAAGCGCGTTCTATCGTTTGTACCACGGCGAGTGTTCTGAGGAATTATTCTCTCTTATCCCACCTTCTCCTTTCCTTCAGAGGACCACGCGCGCTGGCCTACGTTGTCACCGTCTTACTGTGGCCACAATTCCAACACGTACAAAGAAATTTGGTGACTCATTTCTTTGTCGCACTATCCGTAAATGGAATGCTCTGCCCGCTCACGTGTTCCCTCCCTCTTACAACCTGGGATCCTTTAAAAGAGGCGTGAAGAAGCAACATGCAGGCCGGCAGGGTGAGGATGGCTGGTGTGGCAGGTAGAACTGCTGTATCAGCTATCTTCGCGTCTGGACTTCACCTTCACTTAACATCAGGTGGGGTGGAGTCATTTGTCGGACCTAACTATAAAAAAAAAAAAAAAAAGAAAAAAAAAGAACCCGGTGGGGGCAGATGTTTGTGTGACGAATACGAGCATTTGTACTCCAGTCATGGATGTTTAATACAATTATATATAAATATACTTATATATGTACATGTATTGTGTGTATATGTATTCTATCCGTTGCCCTAGTATCCCATAACACAAGCCTTATAGTGCTTACTTTGGGGCTAGGTTAATTGGTGTGAGTGTTGGAAATATTTATTTTATTATTAATATTAACTTATACTTAAGACGGTACTTAGTAGTGTTTGAAATATTGTAGTAGTGTTTGACAGAAGTTACCCATATTGTGAACTCAACTGGACATAACATAATTTTTTCCTATACAGCAAAATCCAGTAAACCTTCAACTTTATTAAACAAAAATTTTTCATCAGTACTTTACTTACCTTCCTACGAATAGTTACTAGAAATAGCTATAGAAATGTCACATTTTTTTTACCTGATACAATAATGTTGAATAGCATATAGCATAATAATATAATAATAATAATTCATTTATTTCAATCATAAAGATCATAGCATGCCAATGACAAAATAATAATAATAATGACAAAATAATATAGCATAGCAGCAGGTTTTCGGTGTTTGGATAACTCATCTTGAGTCGTGTGCCGTACCTTAATTATTGACGTGACAACGTCTTAAATTAGGTTGCGGCTGGGAGTCACTTATGAAAAAGTGTAACGCTCGGTAACGTTACGATGAGTCTCTCGTGTTAAGTTTAAGTTTACATGTACAATGTTTTAGTAAACAAAATATATTTCTATAGTTAAAATTTGTGCAATTCTTATTTTCATTCAATTCCTTGTTCCTATTGTGCAATTTAATTATATTCATATCAATAAATATTCTACCGAGAAAAAGACGTTGTCACGTAAAATCTTCGCCCGTAAAACCGACTTTACAGGCAACCATTTTTTTTTAGTAGACAGGTTGATTTGGCGGACCGCACTACTAAAGTTGGGTCACCCCTTAGAAATTTGCTTATTGTTTTATATCTGTTGTTTCTTTTGTTTGGGCAAAAGCCTCGCTTGCGCTGCTTTAAATCCCTATGGTCCGTCAATTGCAGTGTATCTTACTAGTATAGGCGCTACGCTTCTTTTGGTGTTCCTATCGTGTTTATCTTTGAGGCTACGTCTGATTGCTACGGAGTCACAATACCAAACCGAGTAACTTGGTTCTTAGCGCTTAAAAATACTTTGTAGTGTGATTTAAGCTTTCATTCACAAATAAAGAGAAGTCCATGGTTTTTCTCTCCAATAATATTTAGTCAAAAGATTTTTTTCGCCTAGGCACGTATTATAGCACGTTCAAAACGAGTTTGGCCTAGGGTTTTTTTACTATTATGGCCACTGTAACTCACATTTTGTGAAAATTCAGGTGTCGACTTATTTCCAGCCCTGAACCCGGATCTGGTGATAGACAGAGCGGAGACTTATTAATAGGGCTCCGCCAGTCACTTTTTGAGTACGGAACCCTAAAAAACTGTCGTCGTTTGGCGCACGTCCGGCATCCGCACGTGGAGCTATGAAGCTACATTAGCCGTGCGTTTTTTTATATAGGAATTCCAGAGAGGTACTTTATCGTTTAGTCTTAGCTATCACCGCGTACACTAGTAGAAGATGCAGCGCTGCATTTTTGTTGTTTCTATTTAATACACATTCATTACGGGACTGGAATCGAACCTACGACTCTAAAAGACCGCGATCAATTTTCGTCGATATCGACCCGAAAACTTGAAATCATAAACAAGGGATGCTCGCATCTATTGTAGATGGTTACTCGTACTTACAATTGCAATCCGGCGATTGGTAGAAACTCGACTGCCGCTAGAATAGGAAGAGGATGGCCCGCACCGGCGCACAGATAGGAACCGACAGACAAACGGACGGTGGCACATACGCGCGCCGATGACAACAACACAGGGCTCAACACAGCACCGAAGGAAGACGATATTGGTCACACACTCTCGTACGTCACAACACCGGACGAACAATATCTATCGGTTGTTTGTGGCCTCACCACTCAGACGTAGTGGCGGCGCGGCGGACGCACTGCTACTGCCGATGCCGCCTGTCTCACTGTCTCGCGCGTGGCCGCCCGGCATGCGGCATCTCGCGTCAGGTGAAGTATGACAGCCACCGACCGACAGCGGCTGCCTTCAATGCGGGCGTTGAGGTGCGCGACTGCGATAAATCGCACGCATGATATACTGGGCTGCGACCTCTTTGTACTATATCTACATTCGACGAAGTAACAACTTTTGAAACGGGAGACGGACGGGGCAACAAGTGTTGCGCTAAAATTCAGCGCTAAGAGCGTGAATTTTCAGTTTTTCAATAATTACAGGTACCGTAAGTGAGGGTTACTTTAGCTCGGGCGGGTAACTTTGTCCCAAATCAGAAAAAATATTGAACTTGCCGCCCCATCAGTATCTCTTGGGTGACCGTAATAGTTCCAGTTTAAAATCACAGATAGCCATATAGGCGCGTAGTGTGGTGTCGTTTTACCGACATCGTTCCTGTATCAAGTTGTCATTGTAACGCGGTTTTTGAAGTTATACTTCTTTAGGCGCGTTATGAAAAAATGATGAGAGTGAAATTTTAAGATGCGCGCGCATCACTGTAACACAAAAAATTAACAGCATGAAGTTGGTCGCTTTAGCGACCAACTTCATGCTGTTACTTTTGTGTTTACCGCACATTAAGAAAATCTACCAACAAAATAGAAATAGAATCTCTATTTAGTGGGTGTTAACGACTGCATTGTGAAGGCCTATCAAAAGTATTTATTAATCTGGAACAACGGAACCAAAGCGCGATTCAGGAGACTACAGCGCCATCTCTTGACCATTGGTGTAGTAGAACCAAAAACCACATCTTTATTTTTTGTAATAAAGTAACAAAAAGTATTTATTAATCTGGAACAACGGAACCAAAGCGCGATTCAGGAGACTACAGCGCCATCTCTTGACCATTGGTGTAGCAGAACCAAAAACCACATCTTTATTTTTTGTGATAAAGTAACAGTTATAGGTATTCATATTTATAATATTTATCCACATGTTTCTAGTTTGTATATTCGGAATACGTGTTTGAGTTTCATACAAGTGCAAATCACATATGTTCTAATAAATTATATGCAGTAGCGATTTTAATTGAATATTTTGATTATTTACTTATTTTTTCAAATTAAAACTGAACTTTATTGACTGTGTCCTTTTCCAGACTTTTTATTAATTTATTTATTGTAATTAATTATTTGCATGCAATTAAAAACTAATTTTAAACGATGCCAAAGAAGGATAACTTCTCACGCGCCTACATAAGTACACGCACCCATTTTTTTTTGTAACTGAAGTAGTTCGCAAGTTCATGCGCAAACTTTCTCAAAACTGTGGTTTTCGGTAAGTTTACTATTTTTTCTAAATTTAAAGTTATATTTTTTATTTAACTTAATTTGTGTATTCAGTATACTAATGGTGATCTGTTATAAGGGTTCCTTAACCACAACATGGCTTAAAATGGGTTTTTTTCACAGAGAAAACTCAACGGGCTAAAGTAACCCTCTCTAAGGCCAACTTTTGGCCCAAAATTAAAAAAATATATACTAACCCTTAAATATTATTTTTTCCTATTTTCGTATGATAAATTTGTAACTTATACTTTAAAGTTCAAAATGGCAAGATATAAACGTTACATATTCATCACAAAGAGAAGCTACAATTTTCTTTGAAAAAAAGTGCACATTTTAGGTCAAAGTAACCCGCAGTTACTCGGTACTATTTATTAGAGTACGGTCATAGTACCGACGTTAACTCGTTGTTGCTGTTCCTAATGTCATGTCGTTTTACTAAATGTCAAAGACTAGGGGGTCAATTACCTAACGGGTTTGCTATGGATGTTGCTATAACTTACGATTTCATTTTGTTAGTTCTGACCATCGAAGGTTTTCAAATACCTGACGCTCATTATTTATATATTGTTACTAGCTGACCCAGCGAACTTCGTACCGCCATAAAAGATTTAATTAAAAAAACATTGTCCAGCGGACAAAATTGTAAATCTAAACCATTCTCAGATCCCCTTGAACACACACAAAAAATTTCATCAAAATCGGTCCAGTCGTTTAAGAGAAGTTCAGTGACATACACACTCACAGAAGAATTATATATATAAAGATTACCAATGCGCGAAGCATTTGAAAACCTTCGTCGGTCAGAAATAACATAATTAAATCGTTAGCGATAGCGATAACCATAGCAATCGCGTTAGGTCTTTGGCCACCAGGAGTGGTAAGGCATAGTGGATTTTGCGCCGAACTGGAGCGTCCGTCCGGGGCGCGTAACCTCCACCTTACAGGAGACCACAGTAAAATAACAATACCTTTTGGTGATGTTGCGTTTCTGTCGGTGTAAGGTTCCAGGGCGCCAGGGGGTAGGGGATGAGGTCAGGGCAGGCAACAGTGCGAATGATATTATTGGTATCGCAAGCGTCTATAAGCTATGGCGGCCATTTGCCATCAAGCAGGCCTTATGTAAATGCCACCCTTTTAACATAAAAAAGACGAGCTTATTATCACATTTATGGTCTATAAACTTCACAATAAGCGCTGTGGGTAAAAATACAATTACTTATCTCTTTCTACTAGAATATACATTTAATAAAGTTTTTGAACGGTTAAAAAACTAATTTTTATTAGTTTAATAAGAATAATTTGACGACCTCCGTGGCCGAGTGGTTTGTAGGCAGGGTTTCATGGCTGTCGCCGACTCGAGAGGTCCCGGGTTCGAATCCCGGTGGGGGCAGATGTTTGTGTGATGAATACGAGCATTTGTACTCCAGTCATGGATGTTTAATATGTATTTATATAAATATACTTATATATGTACAGTATATGTATTCTATCCGTTACCCTAGCATCCCATAACACAAGCCTTATAGTGCTTACTTTGGGGCTAGACTAATTGGTGTGAGTGTCGGAAATATTTATTTATTATTATTATTATTAATTCTTGACGTCAAGAACCCTCTACAGGTGAGTTGGTCGACCGGGAAGCCTGTAAACAGTCCGAAACCTTAAGAATAACGTAAAATATAATAAAAATGCGCTATAAACGAAGCGAAGATATTAAAGCTTTTTTTGAAGTGAAATTTATGTTACATCGCCACAAATTTTTTCCTTCATGTTTAGTAAGTAGCATTACATTTTTAATTCTTATTAAAAAACAGACCTTATCAACAAGCAACGGCGGTTTAGTGGTAGAAATCTCACCTGTCTGACTTATAAAAATTAGTGATTTTAAAAGTGTCATTTGCGCGCCGCCGACTTCTCCCACACAGGCCACAAACACCAACACTACACTGCTAGCATACTTGCACACTAGCTTAGCATTAGGCAGACACCGCCCTGTGGGGAGATGCCATCCTCCTGGAATACCTATAGAGGCACTCGCCAATTCTCGTACTTTTTTAATATTATTTTCGATCTGAATACCCACTTAAAATATTCACTTTCTCCAAGTTATCAATAAGTTTGACCTTGTTGACAGCTTTTTTGCTGTAGTTCCAATAAACATAAATGTTCGACTGTCATGCAGAAACTGATACTTTTTCAGATGATCAAGAGAGAGCCAGAAAAAACATCAATAAAATGCATCATGTCTACTGACCAAATGTAATACAAGTAAGTATTGTGCGCTATATAAGTAAAAAAATGGGTGCGTGTACTTATGTAGGCGCGTGAGAAGTTATCCTTCTTTTTATCGTTTAAAATTAGTTTTTAATTGCATGCAAATAATTAATTACACTAAATTAATAAAAAGTCTGGAAAAGGACACAGTCAATAAAGTTCAGTTTTAATTTAAAAAAATAAATAAATAATCAAAATATTCAATTAAAATCGCTACTGAATATAATTTATTAGAACATATGTAATTTGCACTTGTATGAAACTCAAACACGTATTCCGAATATACAAACTAGAAACATGTGGATAAATATTATAAATATGAATAACTGTTACTTTATTACAAAAAATAAAGATGTGGTTTTTGGTTCTACTACACCAATGGTCAAGAGATGGCGCTGTAGTCTCCTGAATCGCGCTTTGGTTCCGTTGTTCCAGATTAATAAATACTTTTGATAGGCCTTCACAATGCAGTCGTTAGCACCCACTAAATAGAGATTCTATTTCTATTTTGTTGGTAGATTTTCTTAATGTGCGGTAAACACAATAGTAACACATGAAGTTGGTCGCTAAAGCGACCAACTTCATGCTGTTAAAATTTTGTGTTACAGTGATGCGCGCGCATCTTAAAATTTCACTCTCATCATTTTTTCATTACGCGCCTAAAGAAGTATAACTTCAAAAACTATCACTTGAATAAGAAAATGGTAATAATTTAATTTTCTTGATGAATTATTCTTCGAATACGTTATGTTCATAACGTTATTTTAAGGTCGTGTTAAATGATCGATTTAAATTAAATTTAAATACGGAAAATAATTATAAATAGATCAAACAAAGGGTATCAAGTATAGAAAAAATGTGAACGATTTGGAAATTTTCGAAACTGTGTACCATGAGAAACTATTTAGCACTCATAACTACAAAATTGTGTAAGTATTTAACAAAAAAACCTCGAGTCCCGTCTGCTGTCTGACCCGCGTGGATTTTGTTTCAGTAAACTTTTCTTTCATCATCATCATCAGCCTAATTATTGTCCCCACTGCTGAGGCACAGGTTTTCCCTATGGATGGAATGGGGAGATCGGACCATGGCCCACCACGCGGGCTCAATGCGGATTAGCGGGTGCTAACGACTGCAGATGCAGCCGGGACCAATGGCTTAACGTGCCTTCTGAAGCACCAAGGAATAGATAGAAGATTTTTGGTCACCCATCCAATGACCGACCATTGCAAAAGTTGCTTAACTTGAACTATCGCAGCCGAACGCGTTAGCTACCTGCGCCATCCAGCTCCTCGAAACTTTTCTTTAGATCTACTTATTTAAGATGTTTTTAATGTTAAAAGGGTGGCAAACAAGCGTATGGCCCGCCTGATGGTAAACGGCCACCATACCCTATAGAGTTATAGCCGCTTGCGATACCAACAATAATCATAATCAAAATCATTTATTCAGTTTAAGCTGTTACAAAGCCCTCATGAATGTCTAGAAGCTACGCCATCGGTTCGTAAATCTACGGCGGGAGACCTTGTACTGAGAAGAACCGACAAGGAACTCAATTTTTTCTCCCTGTTTTATTATTTACAGAGTCGTCAAATTGAAAAATGACTTCAGAGATGATTCATGAAGTCACCTTACATTACATAATTATTAAATATACATTAATTGTTTACCTGCATTTTGATTGCTGTGTCATATAGTATAAATACAAATAGTGTTATTTATATTAAGTGTGACAAAACATTAACTTCAATATTAAGGAAGTTAGGGCAGGCTCATTTCCGCTGGCAGCACCCGTTCAGGAGCATGACGCATGAACCAGCCATCGCTTCGTTCAACCATATTTTATGGAACGTAACGACCCGCCTCACACGACACCGCCGAAGAGACTATTATGAGAGCATGACTACCCATAACTACCCATACTAACTACAACATATTTACTTAAATTAAGGTCATTTACCTGTAGGACACCACCACTGCCGGATTTAGGGGAGGGCAACCGGGACCTCCAGAAACGGGGGGCCCCCACTTCAGACACACCAGACTTCGAAAAAAAAATCTTTGAAATTCCAACTGGTAAACACTAGTAAACATGTTTTCCTTTGATATTTTTATTTTGCTCTTTTACCTGTAACAATTTTTGTTATCACCGGCTATTTCAGGGCTTACATTCCAAATGCAACTACTAGGTTCACACATATATTGTACTTGTCCGTTGCTTTTCAAAGTGGACTACGATATTGAATAATTTATATGCATGATGATAGATGGCGCTGAATAAATAATAATATTTCTACGACTTAATATTTAAGAATTATATTGCTATGTTTTAACGTTATTAAATTTAATTGCTACACAACATCCCCCTTATCTCAAAAAATTTTTCCCAAAAAAATTTTTTTTTATTTAATTAACCTGCAACTGACTTACAGACAAATCAACAATACTAAGTATTAGCCAAGATAAAAAAAATTTAAACTTATATACGTGAGTATCCATTTATTTACTCCACGTAATGTTCTAAACTCTAAGTCAATAGCAACAATTAAATATTTGCTGTTTAATGATTTTTCTTTTAGTTTCATGTAAATACCTTTCTTGGATCTATTATCCAGGGGTATAACATGACTTTTCTGTTCATCTTATGAACTTAAGGTAGTTAAGAAAACAACTCAAGATTAAAGAAGTTTGTATGTTTTCAAACTCAAAAGATTAAGATTATTTTCCAACAATCTTCCTATCTTTAATTATCAAGTCTAAAGTATATGTACACTTCCTTATGCTTATGCCTTTCATACATCAAGACCTATTTTTCTATTTAGTATTTTAAAATAAATTGCACGTGCTTATTTTGTAAAACACTTTTCATACTTCACGCATTACATAGTACTTTCATACCCATATGCATATCAGTGAACACAACTTTACGAAAATATTTTACTATTAAAAATATTTTTTTTTTTTTGTATTAAAATATTAAAATGCATCGAAATATTATTTAAGTGTTCTTTTAAAAGTGAGAATTTAAGTTAAAAGGGTTGTCAATAAATATTTATTTAGTTAAAAGTTAAAAAAAGATTTTAATTTTCTGGCAGGTTTCGAACCGTAGCCCACAGATTTCCATATACATGTTTCCCACACTTGAAGTCTCCTTAGCCAAGCGGATAATACTGTAAGTGACTAAAATACGTATCTTATAAGGGATTCAAAGGTTTGTTAATTTTTAAGTTTGTTGTTAATAATATTATCAAAATGTTTAAGCTATCTTTAAGAAGTTAATTATTAAAACATTTGCCATCAAGATTGGACAAAGTATCAACTGGTGGTGACAATTAAGTAGTTACCACACATTTAATAAATATTTATTCCTTTTGTGAGAAACAATTAAATATTTTCTCATCTTTTGGAAAAATATCATTAAGTTTCAATAATTTTGATTCCTCTGGTGAGCAGCAATTAAGGGTCTCCTCACGTTTTGGAAGAAATTATTTTCAAGTTTAAACTTTTTATTCCTTGGGCGGGGAACAATTAAATATTTCCTCACTGTTCGGAAAAATCGTCAAGTTTAAATTATAGGTTTATCATTCCTTGGGTAAGCAGCGATTAACTGTCTCCTCACCTCTCGGGAAATGATTATGAAGTCAAATTAGCTACAGCTATGCCTGTTGCTGACCGTATAGGGTGCAACACAACATAGTTTCTGAAGTAATATTACGTAATGATTAAATACGTCTACTTATTTCAAGAGTGTGGAAAAGGTTCAAATAAATCTCAACTACTAGTTCAAGGGGTTTTAGACATGGGCTTGCCTTATTGACATGTTAATATTTTTTCTAACAAATTACACATATGTATATACCAACCATCCTTCCTTCCTTTGGTGAGAAACGATTAAAATTTCCTCACCTTGTGGAAAATATCAGTAAGTTCCTGTAACTTTCTGCAAGTAAAAAAATTACAAGTACCTTACCAATATTACGGAAGCAGGTACATAAATATATTGTAACCTGGGAAAGTAATTGGAGGTATCAAAAAATGTTAAGGTTAAGCACAACACTAAAAGGTTCCATTGGAAATTAACGTTATGTATCAAGATTAATTTTTAAGTATTTATCAAAAAAATAATAATTAATAATTAACGACATACTTAATAGTGTCTCATTATATGTATTTAAATAAAAGTCAAGGTACTTTGTGAACACTAAACTAAACAGAGATAATTAAATAATCAATGACATAATTAATTTATGAATTGCATATTTTAAACATTTAAGTATTAAAAAAATTTACTTTAATAGAGAACTAATCGTCATAATTTGGTTTTTAAATCTATTTCTAAATCAGGAATATCAAAGTCTTCTCTCAAGTTAATTAATAGGTCAGAATATGAGTTAAAATTACCTTTATTACTTCTGTACCAAATTAAAGCAGAGTCCTCTAACAGATCGGAAAATGCCGTTAGCATACGAGATTGCGGAATCTCGCGGGCGTGTCTAATTTCTTCCAATCTTTCTATAAAATTTCTAACGCAAGTAGAACCATCATATTTTAAGTTAAATGAGTTTAAATTAATGCGTCTATCTTTAATTAAGTACACCTTCCTCCTTTCGTTCATCTCGCTCGTTCTCTCACACTCGGGAGTTGCCTCTTTACTACTTAATTCGTCTGAACTACTCTCATCCTCTTTGTCTACTTCAGCCAATATTCTAATGAGCCTGTGGCGCAAATCCACTAGAGAAGATTTCTCAACTTTTAATCGAGCCAGTCTATCGATCAGATAATTAGCCCTAACTGACACACGTAAGTGAAGATTACTGTCCTTTCCGAGGTCACCTGATGACAGCAGATCCTCGAGCTCAGCAATTTTCGGCGTACAGGCCTTGAGCTCGCTTGCCGGGAGTGGTGTGATCACTGGAGCACACTTGATGCTGCCACGTCTCTTCAGCTTAAAAATTTGGCGAAGCTGCTTTCTCAGTGCATCCACCGATGTGTCAGGAGCTGTGGAAATGCCAAGAATATCCAATTCATATATGATTTCATCCTTTCTTAAGTAGTTTACATATTTTTGTAAAGAGAGCATTTTCTCAGATTTTTTCAAGTTAAAGTCAGTTATTTCTGTTACTAAGTTAATTATTAAGTTAATTATTAAATTACGTTTAATCAAGTTTTTAAATCAAGCTACTTATTCAAGTTATTTAATCTAAGAAAGTTAAATACAAAGGAATTTATAATTTTTTTTTTTTTTGAAGGAGGGTACTTTTATTATTACAAGTTTCAATTCTTAAAGACTATCTTGTTCACTGTTCAAGGTCAATTTTTTTACACATCCAATCAATACGAAAGTGTTATTCTAGTATAAGTTGATTAATTCTAATGTGCTAAGTTAATTAATGCTAGTGTGTTTTTCAGACTGGTTGGGGATTTAAGCATCTATGTTTCCACCAACCTTTTTATCATCATTTAGACACACTAGTATTCCAAGAGTATTGTTTATTAAAGTTTTCTAAGTTATTAAGTAATTTACTTCTAATGTGCTATTCAGACTGATTGGGGATTTTAAGCATTAAATTTTTCCACCAATCTTTTTATCATCATATTGGCACACCAGTATTTCCCTCAAATACAGTATTTTATTGCTCGGCCCTAAAGTTGGTCGCCATTTTGTAACAATTTTTGTTATCACCGGCTATTTCAGGGCTTACATTCCAAATGCAACTACTAGGTTCACACATATATTGTACTTGTCCGTTGCTTTTCAAAGTGGACTACGATATTGAATAATTTATATGCATGATGATAGATGGCGCTGAATAAATAATAATATTTCTACGACTTAATATTTAAGAATTATATTGCTATGTTTTAACGTTATTAAATTTAATTGCTACATACCTTTACCTACAGCCTACAGTATGCTCGCTTGGCCGTCAAAAACGCGTGTGCGTGCAGTTGTGCTAATTTTTTTGAGTAGGTATGCTGTTCTTTGTACATCTAACATACATGATTATTTGATTATATTAATCTTAAATAACAGAAATCATTGATCTATCTATATTTGTTCACTCCTATAAGGCAATCAGTGAAATATCAAAATTTCAAATGGCCCTGATAAGCACTTCCAATTCACTACCCATCTTGAGGGAGTACCTCAATCGCTTAATGGCTGAGTGGTACTTGCCGGCAGGGCCAAATTAAGGCAGGGCAGGTGGGGCTGTGGCCCAGGGGCCTCCACAACAGCTTAAGAAATAACAACATTTCGATGGGTTAACAAGAATACAAATCCTAAGTGGCCCGGGGTCTCCACAATACTAAATCCAGCCCGGGGCCTCCACAATCCTAAATCCGGCCCTGGACACCACAAACAATATGACTCGCACCGTTGTCTACCCTGACCCCAACCCCTACCCCGTGCAGTCCTGCAAACTAAGTGTTTTCTACAGAGCCTTGAAATAATCATAAGATATAATTGATGGATGACCATGATCAAATAAAATTGGTTATTCGCGCAGTGCTAACAGACCTCGTTCAGTAACACAATCGTTATTAGGCAACAGTTAGCGACTACAGCCACGTTAAGTATGGATGACCTCCCAGTCGTACTTATTTGGTTAGTGCGGTGTCGCTGCGTGCATAATACTGAATACCGTACATTGGATGCGCGTGCGCCGTCGGTTAGTGTGTCTGCTAATAGGACGCCCTTGTGTGATCGCGTCATATATGTAGCCAAATAATTTGGACAATCCTGATACGCACCGCTTCCTTGTGCACCGTGTCCATGTAAACAATGCTCTATTTAAGGCTTCTTTGCCTGGTTAATTTATAAAGCAGTGCGTTATATGCTCCGCACTCGTTGATAAATATAAGATACAAATACAAATTCTTTATTTGATACAATAATTTCCGATACAGTATTGCGATTGGGAATTTCTTTTAAGTAAATATATACTTGTATTAGAAATTCCCGCTCTCCGTGCTAAAAGACATGGTACGTTGAATTATTGATAACCTTAATATTTTAATAATAATGAATTCTAAAAAGTAGCAAAAAAAAAATTTTCTTTTTTTTTTACAATATTTCTTTAAGTCGATATGTTTGTCTGTGCTTATGCATGCTTGTATGTGGATGTATGAGTCTGTGACTGTACGTGTGTGTGCGCGTGTATTTGTGTCTGAACAAAGAGTGTATTGTTGAAAGTGCTAAAGATAATAAAAAGATGGACCTAGCAAACGATATGATATATCACATGGTAGATTACAATCACACTTACCATGTCCTTCTGAAACAGATACGTACACCTGTTAGAGCCTTGTGCAGATTGACGGGCGAAGACAATGTTCACTCCACCTCACACCTCCACAAAAAATGAAACTACAAATTAGGAAATACCTCGTCTATGTTTATTCATTTGGCTACAATGACTCGTAAAGACGACAATAGAAGGATCCGACGTCTAATAATAATAATTAATGTAATAAGATTCTAACTAGACTACGCAAGTATTTAACAATAGAAAAATAATAATCATACAAAGATAGGTACCTACGATCACAAGTTATAAGTAACGGTACGGCACGCGCCGCTGCCTTCAATCCGCGCGGCGTGACTGCGCTGCGTTGTAACACTCGATAAATTATGAGCAAATAATTAGCTATGTTACTAGGAAAATTAATGTTATTATGATCAGAGGCGTATTTTAAAATATGGCGCCCCGGGCCACTTACTATTTGACCTCCCCCCCATCCTTCCCCCTAAAATTAGTAAATCAAAATATAGGTCAGTACAGAATGCCTTTATACGGCTTCAGCCCCCCTGGGCCACTGCACTCTTGGCCCTAGGGTAAATACGCCCCTGATAAGATTCCCTAACCATATATATTATCCTCTCATCAGATTTATCCATGACATTCAGTAATTTTCGCCTAAAATTAAATTTAAAGAGTGCACAACAGAATCACACGCACTACACTAGTAACAATTGAAAGTTTTACCACAAAATTGAGACCTCTCCCCCCGTCGTCGATCTGAAATAATTTGGCGATGCTTAGAAGTTAATCCTCACCTACTTATATTTAACAAACATTGAGGGAATTTTAGACGAGAGCGTTACGAAGGCCCATCGCAATACAAATGTAGTGAGATAAAGTGCCGTTAGAGAGTTTAACACGACTTATTCTTAATCTAGGAAAGTATCACAATCCGCCGCGGACGCCGACACTTACATCAACGCTACGACACGACACACCTTGTTACCGATGGCGATAATGTATATCAAAATTCTATGAATTGGAAAAATATATTAAGGACGATTCAAAAGACCTTTTAAGAATTCAACTTTAAAGTTTTTTTCGTGAGTCGTGATTAAAATTATAGCAAAACTAGGCCAATAGTGATGTTACAGTCAAGTAGATAAGTTATAGAAGATTTTTGTGTTCTGCTAACGTAACAGTATATTTAAAAAAAATAACAACTTAATATACCAAAGTGCGTCTTATAAATTTTTGTATTTGAGTTACCTAGGTCAGGCGTCGGCAAGCTGCGGCTCTTTGGATGTGAAGCTGTGGCTCTTTAGTTCCATTCGCAAATAATATTTATTTTACAAAAAAACATTTCGAAATCGTTTTGAATCTACGAACAATTAATTTTATTTGGTAATCAAGATTGTTAACAGCATCTTGTCAAAAGGACTCTACCATCGACAGTTTAACTGCTAGATGTTTAAATCTAAAGAAAAGTTTTACTAGAAAAACTTTCGACGCGGCCATCAGGGCCGTGGTAGCATAATTGAGCAGTGCATTCGCCCGGATTGCGGAGGGTGCGGGTTCGAGTCCCGTCCGCTGCCTGGTCCGCGTGGATTTTTTTCAAGTAAATCTTTTCTAGATTTAAACATCTAGCTGTTAAATGCTTAAAGAATTCTTAAACGAAATGGGGACTCAGTATTCCGACCTCCTTCTTCACAATAAAGTGCGATGGCTTTCCAAAGGTAAGGTGTTGAAACATTTTGCTTTGTGCTTGCATGAAATAAATACCTTTCTCATTAAAAAAAGGCATTAATCACCCTGAATTAGAGATCGACAAATGGCCTATGTTTTCGTGGAGGAGCTGGTTTGTTTCAAAGAAAAATTGATCTATGCAGAAGATATTCAGATCGGTAAATTACTTCATTTTTAAATTCTAAAGCAATATCGCAATAAAACCAGTGCAACTGTTGACACGAATTATTTCAGCACAGTTACAAAACAATTAAAGATGAATTTGCTGACAGATTTCAACAATTCAAAACTAACAAAAGCACTCTAGCATTCATAGTGGATCCTCTCAACCCAAAAAGTAACGAAATCCACATTGATCCATTTGAAGTTGATACTGGAACTCTATAAATGCATTTAAACGATTTAAAAAGTAAAGCTTTGTGGGGTAGATAATTAACGTGAGTTGTTGATTAAATGAGTTGAAAAGCAAGTTGAAAGAGTTGGAGTCCAAAAATGTATGTGCACAACGCAACAAAAGTGGATAGCTTTAAAAGAAATGCCACGAGCTGAGGCACTTATATTCGACGCAATTCGAATTGTCTTCCAGATTGCTACGGTGAGGTAAGTAGAAAGAAGAAGTTGGCATTTTGAGTGCTGACTATGTTCGGATCGACGTATTCGTGCGAGCAAGCGTTCTCTTGCATGAATATAATTAAAAGTAAAGTAAGAAGCCAACAAACAAATAAAAATTTAGAGTCGTGTCTGAAACTTAAAACAACAAGCTATGAGCCAAATTTATCCGAACTTTCTAAAACCATGCAAAGCCAACGTTCCCATTGTATTCGTTTGCTCAATTGTTTGTTATTGTATTTTTATTATTGAAGTTATACTACTTTAGGCGCGTTATGAAAAAATGATGAGAGTGAAATTTTAAGATGCGCGTGCATCACTGTAACACAAAATTTTAACAGCATGAAGTTTACCGCACATTAAGAAAATCTACCAACAAAATAGAAATAGAATCTCTATTTAGTAGGTGCTAACGACTGCATTGTGAAGGCCTATCAAAAGTATTTATTAATCTGGAACAACGGAACCAAAGCGCGATTCAGGAGACTACAGCGCCATCTCTTGACCATTGGTGTAGTAGAACCAAAAACCACATCTTTATTTTTTGTAATAAAGTAACAGTTATAGGTATTCATATTTATAATATTTATCCACATGTTTCTAGTTTGTATATTCGGAATACGTGTTTGAGTTTCATACAAGTGCAAATCACATATGTTCTAATAAATTATATTCAGTAGCGATTTTAATTAAATATTTTGATTATTTATTTATTTTTTCAAATTAAAACTGAACTTTATTGACTGTGTCCTTTTCCAGACTTTTTATTAATTTATTGTTATTAATTATTTGCATGCAATTAAAAACTAATTTTAAACGATGCCAAAGAAGGATAACTTCTCACGCGCCTACATAAGTACACGCACCCATTTTTTGTAAGTACAAGTTACACTGTTTAATAAACTTTAAGTTTTCTACTTCAATAACCATGCTATGCCAACGCTCCCATTAAACTTGTTTGCTCAATTATTTGTTATTGAAGTACAAGTTAGTATTGTAAGTAAATCTTGCATTGGTTTTCCATCATAAATAAGAAATTACCCAATAATACCATATATATAGTTGATGTGAAAAATACTACTTATACATGAATAAACAGATATTTTTTCTAATTAATAAATAAACATATTATTTTTTGTTTAAAAATCTTTATTTCTGTAAGGACTATTTATTGTTAGCAAGAAACTTTTTGTGGCTCTTTAGAAACTTTGAAACGTTGTAAATTTTAATTTTTGGCTCTTCCGACACAAAATGTTGCCGACCCCTGGCCTAGGTCAACGGCATAAAATCGGAAATATCTACTTGCTTGTGTCATTGTCATGTCATTGTTAACAAAATAACATTATATACTCAACAAAAAATTCTAACCAACATTTGTACGGTTTCTGAACTTGAAAGATTTTTACTCTTGTACTACTATTATAAACGCAATGGAAAACGTTCTACTTATGAAATCGGCTGTTTATGTTCTGAGAAACAAAAATATTATATAACAATCCTACTTTGCACAGAAAATAAAATAAAATCAATTAACAGAACATACAGTTTCTGTAAAAGTCGCGTATTGCTTAGATTTTTTTGATGAGTGTATTAATCTATTTTATAATTAAATAGGCTATTTGACAGTATGAAAAATAATGTACAAATTGTTGGCATCTGTATTAAATATGAATATCAGCAATGATTTCACTTTTCTGAAATAATTAATAACTTTTCTACAAAATCATTAAATAGAAATGATTTTTTTGCTCCATGGTCACGTGGCCGGGAGCACCAGGGATAGGCCAAAACTAAAATGACGTCACACGCTAGTAAAATTCCGGCCAGTGACATTACAATTTATCGTTTGATATATAATGCCCGTAGTGTGATGTCACACACTAGTGAGACACCATAATGTCAAGAGAAACGTTTTCGCGGCCACTTTAAATTTGAATTCTTAATTTAGCTTTTTTTACTGAATTACGTTACGGAATTGAAAAAAATCCACTTTTTATGGACTCCATAAACATGAGTTAATAACGTAAAATCGTTTTCTAAAACTAGCAAATACCCTTTTTTTCGATAGGCAAGATTCAGTTTGAGGTGGAGATGTCCGTCGGCGGCGATATAAATGCTAAATGGAATGTCAACTTATAGACTGATGCTTTAAGCACGGGACACCCTGGGAGCGATATACTCGTATAGCCCGACACGCTCGCAGTGTGATCCTCGCCTTACACTCACAAAACAATAACAGCTAATACAGCACGATCGCACTGATAAACATTTACACAACAAAAAACACGTTTCCCTATGTATGAACAATGTGTTTGCTTAATCAAATTGCATTTAGCAGAAAGCTAAGTTACATAGTTTCAAGTTTTTGACGTGACAACGTCTTATAATTCGATGGAGCCGTCTGCACGCACGAAAAAACATGACTCATGCGGCATTACCTCGCTCTGAGGCGTTCTATTTAAGGATTGAAGTGCAAGCTAGAGTGCGCAACGATCGACAAAGAGGCACAATCGGCCTCCGCGTCTGTAACCTGTCTCTTTCATACTTGAGTGAGCGATGCGTCCGCGTGGACAGCTGCTATACAATAATACATTTACATGTTTTCGTCAAGTAAAATCTAGTGAAAAGAGAATGTGGTGTCAATTGTTTATAGCAACGATAATTGCGGCGATAAAGGTAATGATATCACACATGTTTAAAAGTTGTAAAACAATTGCTCAAAGCACATTCATATTTGTAAAAACTATGTACATTGTAAAAAACGTTGTCACGTTCAACTATCGTCTGTAAACCGACTTTACCGATAATCGATTTTTTTAGACTATATTTTAAACATATAAACAGTGCGACCAACACCTTGTGGCACTTATACGACACTGACAGAAAGGCGCTGCTGGTGAATAAGCGGTGAAATGAGGATTACCAACGTCGAAGAATAATAGGACATATATTAGGCTTATTTGCACCTTCCTCTATAAATAAATGCTTATTTATACCTTCTTAAAATTAGTTTCGATTTCGGTCATGAGCCACAAGATTTTGGTCGCACTGTACTGTATAATGTATATGGTTTTGGTTCACAGACTCAGTGATATCGTGAATTCGCCGAGAAACATGTTCAGAACTAATTAATTAATCGCGTTCCATATAACAAGAGGGTTAAAATGTTGTATTAAAACGATTGTCATTGCGAACGCGCGTTTTACAAATAGCTTTCCAAAACGCTTACACAACAAGCATTACATACAGATGGACAAGTCTACCTCTAGTGAACTGTGAGACATAATAGTGGAGCTATATTCATGTTTTTAGAGTTAAGAAAGAATAAACTAATATCGTAGCGGAAGCCATACGAATTAGGTTTAGTAAAATTTATGTCGCCAGTTGGCGTTGGCATGAAGTTTCTGGCGCAAATTAATCGTCAAGCATTTAAATTGATCCAAAGAATACACGTGATTTGACGGATGGGTACACATTTCATCTCAGTGCTGCCACCTGGCGTCCGTCATTTTAGAAAACCCTCATTAAAATCGATTTGCTTCTGACGCATTAATATGCTTTGATTATTAATTGTGTATGCGATAATAGAAAGGATTTTCAATGTTGCGATTTGAGATTAGTACGAGTATTAATTAACTAAACGGCAAGGACATCATAAGTGTTAATATTTTCGAACGTCTTGATAGTCTTGTTAAGAAAGTACGTTGTATTTAGTCCTTCAAAGTAATTATAATTAAAGTTAACTTTGTATATTTATGGAAAAGAGATAACAACTTATTATAAAAACCACTAAGCTAGTCTTCGTTGATTTACAATAAAATCTAAAACAGTAATCGTATCAAAATTAAATAAAATGTTTATCATTATTTCAATTCAACTCAGGATTAAATTCATATAAATCTTGGTGGGTATCGTTTTCAAAATTACATTAAAGAAATGCCATATCATTTGCGGAGGACCTACCGAAGCGAAACAGATGCTCGTTTCAGTCCTGCTTCATTGATTTGGATACAGCGAACAGGCGATGTTATCTTATTGACCTTTAAAAACAAGGAGACTCACAATAGCGCTCAAAAAGTGGCCGCTCGCATGTTTTTTGATTCACTTTTGTTATACGATTGGGAGTCTACTTGTTTTTATACGTCGATGTGTGGTCTTGAATTTTTTTGGAGATATAATAGTACAGTCATAAAGTGGTGTTCAGCAACAAGGATGTCGGCAGGAAGAATGGTGTCTGATAACAATAGTGGTTTACTCAGACGCGGATGAAGGCGATCGCTCCTGTTCTTCCTGGGGCTCGGGCGCGGGCTGCGCGGGGCCGGGGCTGGGACCGGGGCCGGGACCGGGGCCGGGACCGGGGCCGGGGGGCACGGGGGGGTGCGGCAGGTGCAGCACCAGGGGGGGCAGGGGGGGCCGGATGGCCTGCGCCACGTCGATGACCCCGTACGCGTCCGAGTGGGGCATGTCCGACTCATCGTCCGAGCAGCAGTCGCGGCTTGTGCTCTGCAACAATATACTCACGACTAATATGCTTATACATATGTATCATCTATTATTATCTAAGGGCTATTCATGTACCCTCTCCTGAAGCACTGAATGGTGAGGATTAATGGGCGTGATAACGACTTACTTAATATGCCTTCTGTAATTTTTTGTATGATCAGTTGAACAGTTTTCGCAACGATTGTCCCCGTGACAGTTGAATCTTAACGCATGCTGACCTCGAATCGATTGAACAGATCGGTTGTAATTTTTAATTTTAATGATGTTAAAACAGTTCTGTTTAGCGGTTATATTGGTAGGAAAGTAGTATTGATATAGAGTAGTCGAAAAACATGTAAATAGACCACCATTTGGTTGTCTTTGCTTGCTCAGCTTGGAAAAAGCGCGTGTTTGGAAAATGCAGGTATTATTTTAATGTGTTTAGGTAAGTTTAGACATCATCATCATCAGCCTATTAATGTCCCCATTGCTGAGACACAGGCCTTCCCTATGAATGAAATAGGGAGATTGGGCCATGACCCACCATGCGGGAGCAGTGCGGATTGGTGGGTGCTAACGACTGCAGATGCAGCTGGAACTAACGGCTTAACGTGCCTTCCGAAGCACGGAAGAGCTCGAGATATTAAATTTTTGGTCACCCATCCAATGATCGACCACTGCGAAAGTTGCTTAACTTCAACGATCGCAGCCGAACGCGCTAACCACTTGCGCCATCTAGCATTTCATAATCCTCGTAAGTTTAGTATTAACGTGTAATTTCAAAGTCGATGGTCAATTTTAATAGTCAGGATTAAGGACGCAAAGTTTATAAAATATCAATATATTGACATTTTATAAACAGATGTATCGGTCTAATACGCCGGTCGAGTCGGTCACGTTACGCTCAACTTTAAGCCAGCTTAACATTCTTGTCAACAAACACTAAGAAAAGAGATACAAATAGTTTCTGCCATATGAGAAATTGTATAGCACTGTCCCCCGAAATACACACTCGGCACAGATTATAACAATATACAAGAGTTGAGAACAGTTTTTTTTTTCTAGACTTCAGTGTTGTCAGTAACAGCACTTTACGCGATTCTGTGGGTATTTAAAGGGCGGTTTTTTTTGATATTGTGTTTTTTTCGATACCGATATATTTAGGCGTCGATACGTATATCGATATTATTAGTTTTCCGATATATCATTGCATCCTTAGTCAGAATCACAGTGTAAAAAAAATAGGTGACCACCGCCTTTTGAAGTTTCGCCAAATAAGTATAGCTTACGTCTAGATCTTCGTTAGTGTCGGAGGTGATAAAGTTTAGTTTAGTAAGTTAATAGTTATTTATTATACAAGAGTGGAAAGTTCCTTTTTAACCGCGTGCTCGATTTGGATGACCGAGCAAGCGAAGGATTCTAAAGTTGAATCACGAGCGCAGCGAGTGATTCTAAATTAGAATCCTGAGCGTCAGCGAGGGAAACAAACGAGCACAAGGTGAAAAATCTTTCCACTCGAGTGCAATACGTAACTTTTCATCCCACCTCAGCGAGGAAATGACAAAATGAAAAAGAAAACAATTTATAATGACAAAATATTTAAGCAATAAAACGTGAAAAACTAGAATGGCGCGAAGCACGCAAATAAAACAAAGAAACCAAGAAGGTTCCAAATTTAAATTTTTTCACAATTTCAAAAGTTCTAATCATAAATTTGGCACCATAGAGGTTACATTAAATAGGTTTAATGACGTTTTGAATTTACAATTATATTGAGTACTCATTATATGTGATGTTCTAAATTCAAATCTACTTTGCCGCTCAAGCGAATAAAATAGAATTTTCCAGCCAGATTTCGAAGCGCAAAATTACACTTTCCGAGGTGGTGGGATGAAAAGGTTTTTTACGATATGGTGTACATTGTAGTAGTATGGTCTCACCGGTCGGCAGCTTTCGGGCAGCAGGTGGCAGGCACAGGCTCGCGCGTGCAGCACCACCACGCCCGGAGCTGGCCCCGGGCCCAGCCCCGGGCCCGGCCCCAACCCAGGGCCCGCCCCCGCGTCCTCCGACCCCGAGCCCGCACCCGCCCACCCGCGACCGCGTGATGCTCGCGGCATTGTGCCCATGACGCCTGCGGCAATCATAAAAAGAAATCTATGACTAAACCCGTGCAAAAAACTAAATAAAAACAAATTCATAATAAAAGGCGTCAATCATTTTAAAGATGGCGCTTTCATTATATGCCCCCCCCCCCCCCCCCCTGATATAGTGCCACACTCACCTTGTTGCGGAGCCGCGTGTGCGGGCGGAGTATGCTGGTTGAACTCCAGCGTCTGTGAGGGGCGGCACCCCCGCCACCACCACGCCCCCGCCCCCACGCCGACCCCCACTCCAGCCCCCACGCCCGCCCCCACCCCTGATGGCCCCGCCACCGCACCCTAGACAATCACACGAACGCTATTAACTGCTTCCTTTTGCAACGAGAAAGAAAATCTCTCAGCGAATTGGAAAAGCTCACTGCGATTGAGTTCAATGCAGATAAATTTATTGCAAAATATTAAAACAGAGTTTATTTTTGTTTAAAACAAAATAACCATGATGCAGAAATTATACAAAATATATTATATGAAACAGCCATTGATTAGTTATATTGAAGTTCCTACAAATAACATCATGTTAAAAATTAAATACAAATACTTTTATTAAGTTGCTGCATCTTAGCATGTATTCATGTAAAAAAATGTTGAAGAAAACAGACTGAATAAAAATGAATCATATTTTTTTAAATAACTAGAATCACCAGTATAGATCTTCGAATCGAAACCGTCCGGAAATATCGTTAGCCATAATAGATTTAAAAGTGTTGTCTAAAAAGAAAAAACTGTGAAACACATTGCGTACAGATCGCGGCACGTAACTCTAGCGCTACTCTACTCTTGGGGAGCTGCGCATGGGTACGACTGCAGAGACAATCGGCGCAACGCACGCCCACCCGCGCACCTCTGTTTCTCCCCAACACATCTTAGTTTTTATTTCTGCGCAATAACGATCAGGGCTATAGTTTCGTGCCGCAACTTATACTCGGCTCTTGCCCAGCTCGCTTATTCTATTCATCTAATTTTCTTGACCGTTTTGGCACGTGCGTAGTAGGTATAGAACTTAAATTATATATACGCCTAAAAGAGCAAATTAAATAAACAAAATGACAGATAGAATGAAAGCACTTAATGTTTGTACCATATTATGTAGATATGTTTTGAGTTGTTTCTTTCCATTAATACGGTATCTGGATTTATTTTATTTCTTCGGAAAACTTACAGCTATTATTTATACATTGAACCTAATTTAGTTAACTACTAGCCAATAACAAGTTTTCACATATGAAAATAATACATAGCTTATCAATTTCCGAAAAAAACTCATAAAGCGCCGCTCGGGGAATCCACACTGATGCAAAATTTTTGGGTTAGTAATTTGTAAATAGTTCAGTAACCAGCGCTCGTCTCAACGCCGCAGTACTGTCATAAAATATATCCAGGTTCGCGTTATTACTTAATGAATTGAATAAGTGACATAAACGGACAAGGTAACCGTTTTGTTTGTGTTTGTTCGTATGTACTAAGGCAACTTGCAATTTGAACTTTTTGCTACGAGTGGTGAAGCTTCGTGGCATAATAACCTTCACAAGTTCCATTAAATCACTTGAGACAATACTACCATTTAGAATTTTAAATAGACGTGTGATGGGCGTGGATGTGTATATAATGAAAGGTATACAGTTGTATTATAGTATAATGTAGTAGTTACCTGGTCGAGCAGCGCGGAGGCGGCGCGCGGGCGGCAGGCCAGCAGCGTGCGCCAGCGCCCCGCCGCCTGCGCCCCGCACATGCCAACGTTCGCGTATCTGCAACAAATCACTCCAATGTTATAACTCACTCCTCAACTTGTTCATAAAAAGAAATAAATTGAAATATATAAAACAAATATACTTAAATAAGCCATTATATTACTACAGTTCTTCCATTCTGTAATCTAAAAAAATCTCGCGCGCGAGGGCGCGGCATCAGGCGGGCCACTCCATCACGGACATGCGCTCGCTCAGCATCAGTACTGTGAGGGCGGGCACGCGGCATCAGTACTGTACTCACGTGTGGTGCGGGGGGCGGGGGCGGGGCGCGGGCGCGGGCGCCAGTGAGGGCGGGCGCGCGGGGGCGCGGCATCAGTACTGTACTCACGTGTGGTGCGGGGGGCGGGGGCGGGGCGCGGGCGCGGGCGCCAGTGAGGGCGGGCGCGCGGGGGCGCGGCATCAGTACTGTACTCACGTGTGGTGCGGGGGGCGGGGGCGGGGCGCGGGCGCGGGCGCCAGTGAGGGCGGGGGCGGGCGGGGCGGGCGCGCGGGGGCGCGGCATCAGGCGGGCCACTCCACCACGCACACGCCCGCGTACGAACGCCCCACGGACATGCGCTCGCTCAGCATCGTCCACTGCTCCGTCGCCGGGTCAAATATCTGCACACGATACACCACGGCTATAGGTCACACTGTTCTCTCCATAATAGCCTATGCAGACGAAAGACAGGTGTCTCCAGACTTAAGTCCGTCAAAATGAATCAAAAAGCCCCCGTACTACCCGATCACGAGACACAGAAAGAACGGAATATCGGACAAGAGAAAACTACGCGAATGTCACCGAAACAAATAGAAATTTTAGTCCGTGTTACATGCTCGATCCGATTTAAAAATTTGGTCCCAAAATGCACTTTTATAAGTTTTTCCTTTTTCTTAAATTTCATTGACACGTCCTTGCAATCGTAATTTATCTAAATGTTACTATGTAAAAATATATAATCACTTTAATAATATTAATTGAGATCACTTACTGCAGTCACAACAAACTATTGACATGGCTTTGGCCATTTTCATTGGATTCTGTGATAGAGATATTTGGACTCTTAGTTTATTGCAATTATTTTTATTTACAATGGCATCTGGTGTTACACAAGAAAATGCTGGCAGTGTGTATGTATAATGTCGATTTGGATAAATGTTTTATCAATAAATAATTAAGTATTATTATTAAAATAATTTGTCTTATTTATTTTTGATTCCTAAACCTTATATAATAGTATATCCATTGTTGGGTTGACGGAGCATCAAAGGTGCAGCTTGAGCGTAAAGAGAATAAGTATAAATAGCACTCATATAAACGCACCTCAACAACACCACATTTATTGAATTTGAGATGTTTGGAACAAATAGAGATAAGTAGCAGCTCACCAAGTTTACGAATAGACGCTGTCCTCTGATAGGATTTTACGAAGTGCATTCAATTTTTGTTTCACTCCCAGTCCAAAATAGAAGACGAAAGGTCACAACCTTATTAAATACAGTTTAAAGTAGTATACCTAGTAATAATTAAGTATGGTATAAATATCGAATTTAATCGAATCTAAATATGACATAACCTTAAAATGCTAACGTAATTTAATATTTTCTTTAAACCTCCACTTAAGTTTCTAATGATATTTTGCCTACGCAATATACACCTGATTTCCTATTGTTTAACATTTATTCCAATAAGACGCAATGAAAAAAAAATTTAGCCCAACTCCCATAGTAAAAAGACTATTCTCCTTTCAATTGGCGCGTAACCGCATCGATGCTACGCAATAACTGCAACACGGTCTTCTTTAAGCGTCCACTCCATATTTAAAAATGAGTAAAATTCAAAAAAATGTACATTTTTATTTTCATAAACAATTCGCAATTCGAATTCGATAAACTTTTTTGTGGCCAGCATTATAAAAGAAAAGTTTTTACTGTGTGACAATACTTATGACCTGACTGTGTATAACTAACATCGTACTCTCCGAAGATGAAGTGTTGAAGTTACTCAATACTCTGGATCGATCCAAAGGACCGGGTTGTGATAGGGCTCCCTCTATTTTCTTATCATCCTGTGCAAATAGTCCCGTTAAACCAGTAACAATTGTTTTTCAAAAAAATGCAACTTTTCCCTTATGTGGAACTTCGTTCGAACAAATCATCCCTGTTCACAATAAGGGGACTAAGAGTGACATTATGAATTTCCGGCCCATATCCAACTTAAATACCCTTGTAAAATTGTTACAGAAAATTGTCTATAAACAGATGTATTATTGCTCTTGGTATACCGAACACCCAGCATGGTTTTCTTAAGGAACGCTCAACCACGTCAAACTTAGCACAATTTACTAACTTTGTGATGAAGGGCATGGAGGGCGGTGGACAAGTGGGTGTAATTTACACCGATCTCGAGAAGGCGTTTGATCGTGTAGATCATAGAATACTTATCGAGAAGCTCAGGTTGCTTGGTATTCATGGGGACTTACTGAGATGGATGACATCTTATTTCTCCAATCGATCTCAGGCAGTGGTGCTAGGAGGTTACTGTTCAGAGTATACTAATGTTCCTTCGGGAGTTCCTCAGGGGTCCCACTTTAGCCCTCGCTTCTACAATGCATATATCTCTGATATAACTAATAGCCTCATTAAGTCTAAACACCTCTTATATGCAGATGATAAGAAAATTTTCATTCGGATGAATTCACTTGAAGATTGTTTTCTCTTGCAAAGTGATTTAGATAGTCTTATCAAATATTAATATTAATCTAAGTATAAATAAATGCAATACGATCACTTTCAATCGGAAAAAGGACCCCATCCTGTTTCAATATAATATCGAAGGAGTTACTTTTGAGAAGGTCGAGGTAGTAAGGGATTTGAGAGTGCTTCTGGACTCCAAATTTTTAATGACATTGACACGATCACGAATAAGTCTTGTAGACTTAACTAGCACCCAATTAGTGACTTTTCTTTGGTAAAATCAAGTTTTCATTCCTTTCGCCCGCTTCACTTCCGTTATTCCAGCTGTATACGTTATTGGTGGCCCTTGGCTGTTTAATGTACCTTTATAAATAAAAAAATATGAGCCATTTGAAAACAAAATCCACAGAATATCGCGATACTGAATGCCGCAATAGTTTGTTTTTATGGCGGGTTGGCATAATAAAGCTGACTGAGCATTCCAAATGTACTATGTATGAGGAAAAAAACCCAAAACTCGTATTTAATTCGTATGACAAATAACAAACAATTTGTCACTTTGAATTTGTTGGTTTGGATTTTCAGTCTTTTGCGTTGAAAAATTTACCCTTACTATAATTTTAATAGGATATTATCGCAAACGCCCCCGAACCAAAACCGCAAACATACTGGAAACAGATTTAACCAGAGCGTTGCGGGCTGAAGCCAAGGTACTACGTACTTGGTGGTGATAAGGAACGCTCAAATGAAATGGACTTTTCTGGAATGCACCCATTGGCGTATTTAATCGCGTTCGGCACCACGTAGTAAACATTTGCGTTTCAACAGCGATTTTTGGAACGAATACAAAGGCGATCAAAGTGCAGTGTTCAAGTGCGATTATTATTAAAAAGCATCTGTTATCGGATAGTTCTCCAAACTAGCCGCTAATAACGGTTAAACGGCTGTTTATCCGACTCAATACCAAAATGTTTACAGTTCCTGAGTCGAATTTGTTACAATATACGAGCTGTTATATACAAATAGTTATTTTTACTCAATAATTATCTACTCTGTCATAGTGTAAAACATAAAATAACGGAAAAACAGCGGCTGACAACCGGCTGTTCATCCGAATCAATACCAAAAGTTGTTACAATTTTTACAGTTCCCGATTCGAAATTATAATGATATACGAGCCGCTATATCCAAATAGGTATTTTTACTAAACCAATTGCCTTCCTACTTTGTTATGGTGTAAAACATAAATGATCAGTATTATGCATTATTTTGCAATGTCTTTCAATGCGACAGATAATAAACGAATGTACTTACCTATTTATTTCTGATATATAATCCGTAGCAAATATACCGAAGTCGTCGCTCCAAAAAATGTTTTAATTGGTTAAAAGGGCCTTTTATGTCTTTACTTATCTCGTTAAAAGTTTCAAAACGATTTCAAATGTGTACTCAAGACGTCCGTTTTGTGTTTCGAGTTCTTAATACCATTATGTGATCAGCCCCAGTAAGATGAAATTAAAAAAATCGAAATAACAATAACGCAACTAAAAATAGGATTTCTCAGACACTTATTTTATTGGTCGCTAATGTTTGACCACTCGCTCACATCGCAAGCGAATACAAATAGCCGTCACTCAGGCCGGAGCTGAAGGCGCGTCCGCAGCGCGCGTATCAAGTAAGTAGGTAGCTAGAATGTAGATCAACAAAATCAATCACTTGGAACATAAAACGGATATCATCATCATCATCATCAGCCTATGAATGTCTCCACTGCTGGGGCACCGGTTCTCCCTATGGATAGAATAGGGAGGTTGGGCCATGACCCACCACGCGGGCCAAGTGCGGATTGGTGGGTGATAACGACTGCAGATGCAGCCAGGACCAACGGCTTAATGTGCCTTCCGAAGCATAGAGGAGCTCGAAATAGTATTTTTTGGTCACTGTCGTGGTACACGACTTTTCTTTGACGACGTGACGTCACAGACCGGCGATCATGCAAATAATATGTCAACAATAGGTACATAACTTATGAATTAATAGGTAGCACAATTTAACAACCATTAATTACGATCGAACATACATCCTTGATTATGTTTCGTCTACTAATTCATTCCTGGAATCATTGCTGTGTCTGAAAACACGATCATAAATAATATTTCATTGTAAAAAGTGTTTATCGTAATATCTTTATAAATACCGAACCAAATTACGATTTAATGGTATCATTGCATTCAGAAAATTATTCTCATTCCATTTCACGGCTTGTTTTCAGTAAATATGAAAATCACATTTTCAATAAAAAAAACAAAACCAAACTTCATGTGACGTCGTATGTGCCTATGCGCATGAGAAGCCTTTATCGATGCAATTGGCATTCGATAAACAATCACACCGTGATTGCTCATGGATTATTAAACATGACATTTTCAATTATGGATGTTTTTGATTATCAAACAAAGTACTCTTTTTTGGTAAATAAATTAAAATTTATAACGGTACATTTGTAAAAGTTTGATTTCGGATTTCAAGTATCCATCGATAAATCGATGTTTACTTGATTGATCTTTTGCCATTGCACTACTGACCTACTTAAGCGTCGGACAGTCGCCCGAGACATTGTGTCGCTCGTCACCAAACCAATCCAGTTCTCGCTAAGGTTCGCGTGGCACCATGTTTGGTCGACCGAACCAGGGGGATGAAAATGGCACTCCGCGATGCCCCTTAGTTCTATAGTGTTTTTTTTTATGGCGTTCTGCCCTTACAAGATATCATGTTCGTATATATAAAATATAATCTCGCGGCCGCTGCGTGCGTGGTGTGACACGTGATCACCCACGCCCTCCGACTCTTCGTGTCTTCGGCTTCACTGGTGTGCTCAAATGCCTGTAAGCTCCTTCCACCTGCGTGCTTCCTGCTGAGGCCAGCGGCGTCAGCCCGTAGACCCCTATCACCATCCATCAGGGTGCAGCGTGCCGTGACGTCAAGGGTTGACGTCCTGCGGCATCACCGCCATCGTCGCTTCGTTCAACGAGGGAACGTGGTACCATCAGCGATGTGTGTCAAATCGTGAGCTCACGTACTTTTCTTTTTTTTTCGAGAGTGCGCGCGTGTCGTCCCCCGTCGCCACGTGTCCCATCTGGACTTTAATGACTTTTCGGGTCGATAGAGTATTATATACCATCGTTGGTATCATATTATAAGACCCATTGTTCCGCTGCGGGCCGCCGCCATGTAACGCGAGATTTTATAATATAAATTGCATGTACCAGAAACCACCATCTTTGATTTGTTCCCCCAAGCTACGGCCTTTGTACTTCAATAGTTCATTGCTGTAAACGAGAGTTTATCCCGGTACCTTATCAGCTGGGTATTAGCTGAAATAACACCTGCGCGTATGTAAGTAGGTTCCGTGTCATTAAACAGTAAAGTAAAATATTTCCATTGTTTTTCCATTTATAAACCGATCACAGATTACATTCGTTTTCTTTAACATACGACATCACCCATCCAATGACCGACCGCTGCGAAAGTTGCTAAGTTCAACGATCGCAGCCGGAGGCGCTAACCACTTGCGCCATCGAGCTCCTCAAAAACGGATATATTAAAATACAATGAAATATTTTCAACCGTTAGCAACCGTCGTTTAGGGATGATCAGCGAAAAAAGCGGTTGTTATCGGCTGGCTGATAACGATAACATCGACCTTGAGATGCATACTGACCTCGCCGGTGTCGAGGTTGGCGGCGCCTGTGTCCCCGCCCAGCACTATGAGCTTCCCTCGATGCGCGGCCACGGCGGCGTTGAGATGCATACTGACCTCGCCGGTGTCGAGGTTGGCGGCGCCTGTGTCCCCGCCCAGCACTATGAGCTTCCCTCGATGCGCGGCCACGGCGGCGTTGAGATGCATACTGACCTCGCCGGTGTCGAGGTTGGCGGCGCCGTCGTCCCCGCCCAGCACTATGAGCTTCCCTCGATGCGCGGCCACGGCGGCGTTGAGATGCATACTGACCTCGCCGGTGTCGAGGTTGGCGGCGCCGTCGTCCCCGCCCAGCACTATGAGCTTCCCTCGATGCGCGGCCACGGCGGCGTTGCGGCGCGCCGTGTGCATCGGCGGCGCCGGGCTCCAACAGTCTTCTTCTACGCACACATTAATAAAACAAAACATCGTAAATGACTTTCAAAATAAAGAGAAAACGCGTGCTTTGAGATATTTTGAAGTGAAACTTCTATACAGACGGAGGTTATTAGAATTTTACTGTTAAAAAAAGCGTTACGGCCGCGTGGAGTGGGCAAACGATATATCACGCGGTGAGAGGCGGCAGCGGCACAGGGAGAGTTGCCTGTTGAAGTTTCAAATTCAAATGATTTATTGTGAAATGTAGGTAAAGTACAGCAATTTAGTATTAGGTAAAAAGTTTAGTATCACTACATTTCGACCTTATTACAAGGTATACAATATTTTTAAGTAATAATCAGGTTTACAATTATATAAAAATCAAAATTATTAACAATCAAACAAGTCATAGTTAGAAATAAATGTCAAAATATGTTTATGTCAAAATTACAAAGCAATATTTTTATGTCAAACTAAAAATATATAATAATAATAATAAATTGTGCTATAATAGGCTAAAATATAAGTTAATTAGGTAATGATGTCCATTTCTTTTAAGGAAGTGTCACCAAAAATCTCTTGTGTAGTATAATATACTTTGTAAATTAACAGTTTCATTAAGCGTTACCTAAAAATAGTCATTGGCAAACTCTTTATATTATTAGGTAGGTATTTTGTTAAAAATCGTAGTAGCCATACCAAAGACACTTTTGCTAAAAAGTACAGTTTTACGTTCCATCGCACATAATGTATTTCCTATCCCTCGTCTATATGTGTCCCAGCACACATTTTTTTATGTTAAAGGGGCAACAGATATGCATATGGACCGCTTAATGGTAAGCGGCCAACATAGTCTATAGACGCTTATGTGTAATCCATGTGGCATTAAGTCCGCCATTTGTTGTAAATGACAATAAAGAGTAAATAAATAAATAAAAAAGAAATGATGTGGTGTCGTGGGACACCAGGTAGGAACGAAGTTCCTTCGGCTAATGTAGAATCGACACAAATTGCAAACTCGCTTGTGTATGCGACTGTCGCGCCTGCGCACGTCTCATTTAACGGTTTTATTCCACGCACTTTTTTCCACGGATTTTTTCTTACGGTTTTACTATCACATTTTTTTCAGTTCGATCGTGCAGCAAAATCCCTATCCCCTCCAAGAACTTCGTTCCAATAAATAAATAACAAAACTACCACTCGCGCTGTTGCCTGCCCTGACCCAATCCCCTACCCCGTGGAGCCCTGGAGCCTTTCTCACCGACAGAAACGCAACACCACCAAAAGGTGTAAAAATTTACTGTGGTCTTCTATCAGGTGGAGATTACATCCCCAGATCAAATCCTCCAATTCAAACGAAAAGACAACGACTCAAATAGTCAGTTCCATATTTATATAACTTTTGTTAAAAAAAAAAAAAATAAATAATCAAAATATTCAATTAAAATCGCTACTGAATATAATTTAACTAAAACTAAGCTAAAGCGACCAACTTCATTATGTTAAAATTTTGTGTTACAGTGATGCGCGCGCATCTTAAAATTTCACTCTCATAATTTTTTTATAACGCGCCTAAAGAAGTATAACTTCAAAAAAATAGTTTTGTAATGGGACAGATTATACTCATATATATTAAAATTTCAATAGGGATTATGAAAAAGTATTGGACACGTATTTTTTCTTTTTTTACATAATATAAACATTGCAGAGATATATTGATTTGAAAACTCGCATGACGTCACGTTTGAGTACACTTATAAGTGAAAATTCACTCAAAAGTGATGTCACGAGCCCCTACTCCCAAACCCCCGCGGTGAGTGGGGCGGGTACATACCTGCGGGCGCGTGCGGGGCGGGCCGCAGCCTCTCCACGGATCGCCTGACGGCGGGGGCGGGGGCGGGGGCGGGCCCGCGGTGAGTGGGGCGGGTACATACCTGCGGGCGCGTGCGGGGCGGGCCGCAGCCTCTCCACGGATCGCCTGACGGCGGGGGCGGGGGCGGGGGCGGGCCCGCGGTGAGTGGGGCGGGTACATACCTGCGGGCGCGTGCGGGGCGGGCCGCAGCCTCTCCACGGATCGCCTGACGGCGGGGGCGGGGGCGGGGGCGGGCCCGCGGTGAGTGGGGCGGGTACATACCTGCGGGCGCGTGCGGGGCGGGCCGCAGCCTCTCCACGGATCGCCTGACGGCGGGGGCGGGGGCGGGGGCGGGGGCGGGCCCGCGGTGAGTGGGGCGGGTACATACCTGCGGGCGCGTGCGGGGCGGGCCGCAGCCTCTCCACGGATCGCCTGACGGCGGGGGCGGGGGCGGGGGCGGGCCCGCGGTGAGTGGGGCGGGTACATACCTGCGGGCGCGTGCGGGGCGGGCCGCAGCCTCTCCACGGATCGCCTGACGGCGGGGGCGGGGGCGGGGGCGGGCCCGCGGTGAGTGGGGCGGGTACATACCTGCGGGCGCGTGCGGGGCGGGCCGCAGCCTCTCCACGGATCGCCTGACGGCGGGGGCGGGGGCGGGGGCGGGCCCGCGGTGAGTGGGGCGGGTACATACCTGCGGGCGCGTGCGGGGCGGGCCGCAGCCTCTCCACGGATCGCCTGACGGCGGGCCCGTCGTGTCCGCCCACCGCGTAGAGGGCGCCGCCCACCGCGCCCACGCCCGCCCCCGAGCGGCGCGCGCTCATCGGGGCCACCGGCTCCCACTTGTCCAGGGCGGGGTCGTATCTGCGGAATGCAAATAAACACAACGGTAGTAAAATTGATCTAAGCCCCTGATTGCGCCTCCTTGTGGCTCAATGGAGCCACTAAACGTAGCCACCGATAGAAGATATGGTAGCTCAGTGATACACCATCGATTGGAGCCTGCGTCTAGCGACGTGAGTGAGTTACGAGTGGTCGCAATTAAAGTCTCAATGTGCGCTTGCTCTTAAAAGTTGTATGAAGTCACTAGATCGAATACAGTGAGCAAAATTATTCTCATAAGAATACTAACAACTGACAACAATTTGGATATAATTTGTTATGACGACACGTAATTCATTTATTAGGACCTCCAAAGAAAGTTTTACTTATATTATTATCTAACATTGTATTTTTTAAAGTTATACTTCTTTAGCCGCGTTATGAAAAAATTATGAGAGTGAAATTTTAAGATGCGCGCGCATCACTGTAACACAAAAGTAACATAATGAAGTTAGCCGCGGGCGCGTTATGAAAAAATGATGAGAGTGAAATTTTAAGATGCGCGCGCAACACTGTAACAGAAAAGTAACACCATGAAGTCGGCCGCTAAACCGCACATTACTCGTAAGTCTCGAAAAAAAGCTTCCAACAAAATAGTAATAGGATCTCTTAGTCGCACATGTTGGGACGCTCGTCGCCTCTGATCACTGTTTTCATATTTATAATATTTATCCACATGTTTCTAGTTTCTATATTCTTAACACGTGTTATAATGTTATACAAATGCGAAATTTATATGTGCTAATAAATTTTATTCAGTAGTGATTTAAATTTAATATTTTGATTATTTATTAAATTTTTCAAATTAAAACTGAACTTTATTGACTGCGTTGACTATCCTTTTCCAATCCTTTTATTATCTTATTGTAATTAATTATCTGCATGCAATTAAAAACTATTTTTTAATAATTCCAAAAAGAAGTATAACTTCTCACGCGCGTACTTAAGTACACGCACCCATATTTTTTTATAATAGATACAGACTAAATATAAATTCTAATTAAAATTATTTAGCGGTAGGCACCTGTGTATCCGCTCATCGTGTATAAGTAACCATGCAGTATACAGACACACTAACACACACTCACCTCTCAACGGTGTGCAGACACTGGCGAGAAGCGCCGTCGTATCCGCCAACCGCGTATAAGTATCCGTGCAGTATACAGACGCCGACGCTGGATCGTCTCGTTGACATGGAGGCGATGGAACGCCACGCGGGCTCCGAAGAGCTAGTGTCTAGCATTTCCGCTGAACTGTACAAAAAAACAGAGAAATATAATCACCTCTTTTCCAGTAAATGGCCTGACACAAAAATTAACAAATTCACCTGACGTTCAAGCATCAATTTTGAAAGCTCCGTAATCGTATCGTTATAGTCAATTTTTTTTATAGAAGAAGGCAGTTTCTTCTTACGTCCGGCAGGGGTGGTGCTTAGTTTTCATAGAAACTTTGACGATGCAATACAATAACAGAGCTGCAAAATTTTGTGCATGGGCGTTTGAATAATAAATAACAATTAATTACAGACAAGCAGAGAGAAATCATATTAATGAATACGACACCGAGTGTATTTTCTTGAGATTCGTTTGTATTCGTTTGCACATGGGGGTAACAAATATCAAAAGGTAGGTAAATGTACAATTATTGCATTCAAATAAGTGGCAATATAGCCCTAAAAAAACAAATTTCAACGGGTTAGATGCACTGATTTTGTTTATTTATTGACGTTTCGCATCCTTTGTAGGAATGCGTTGTCGGAAAAACCATTTTACGAGTACGTTTTTTTCTTCACAATTCAGTTTTAATTTCGTCGTTTTATGTTTTGTCGCGTTTTTCTTAAGGTAACTGAACAGGCTATATTGCATATTTGTTTGTTAGGTTTTGACGCACACCATGACGATGGGACGGGGCGGGCCGCTGCTCCACGTGTCCGCGTCCGCCCTGTATACGTCCACGCTGCGCACGCTGCGCACGCTGCGCACGCTGCGCACGCTGCGCACGCTGCGCACGCACGCACGCAGGTGTCAGTGTACCTGAGGCCGGTGACGCCGTCGAAGCCGCCCACGGCGTAGATGACGTCGCCCAGGGCCGCCACCCCCAGCGTGGAGCGCCGCGCACACAGGGGCGGGCCGCCGCTCCACGTGTCCGCGCCCGCGTTGTATACGTCCACGCTGCGCACGCGCAGGGACCTGTCCACCGCACCGCACACCCATTACAAGGCAATACTTTTACATTTTCTCAATGACCTTCTAACACTCTCTTTATACAAAAATAAGTTTTGATAAAAACGAACTTGAAACGATTTTTTTTTATTTCCTTTTTTGTTTAAAGTCGGTTTATAATTTTTGAAGTGAAACTTCTTTACGCATGCTTAACTTGGGGAGTAAGCTGGCGAAGGCATTACGAAAAATGTGATCAGGAAAGGCGAACGGGAGTTGAATGGGGGATAAAAGCCAGAGATATCAGCGCGCACATTTTCTTTTTCTCTTATAGCTAGTTAATGAAATATGTATATGTACGCACCCGTTGAACCCGCCCACAGCGTACACGTTGTCCCTGACACGAGCCAGCCCCGCCCGACACCGGCGCGCCGGCAGCGGCGCCGCCCCCCGCCACCCGCCCGCCCCCCACCCGCCCCACGCCGAGCCGCCCAGCACCAGCACCTCGGTCTGCAACACGGGGCATGCCCACCACGCTTTAAACGCAACCCTGTATTCATGTTATTCTCTCTGCCGTAAAAAACGTGCGTGCGTCTCGGGACGCGCGACGGAAGTAATGACTTAAACTAATCTAAGCGACGCTGCGTGTTACAGGGAGAGAGGAGGAGCCTGCCTCCCGCTGCCGCATGCGAGAGAGGAAGGGAAGCCAGTACCCTTAGTATGAGTTTTTATAATACGAAACGAACGATCGTCTTCGTCGATTCGATCAAACTATACGTTTTCGAATTGTGTCGCAGTACGAGTATAGAATTTCACTCCTCGTCTTCACGATATCGTATGCTCGATGACTCGATTAAACGAACTTCACACTGATTAGTTTTATCTATTTCGTTATTTATTGCCAAAAAAGAGATAGCTGAGCCATTCATTCAATTCAACCTTGAACAAAGGTAATCTATGTAAAACTCTAGACTTAATCTTATTAATCTGTGGCCAAAGAGTATAAAACCTACGTTCATCTGTGTGTGAAACTTGGCTGTACGTGGCTGTATGGTTGACTTCAAGGCCGTAAAGAATTAAAATTAAAAATATATATACATTGTGTTTAGTCTAAAACGGGCTAAAATAGGGTAGTCTGGAAAAAACTCTCACGGCGAACGCGCGGTCGTTTTGTCTATATACTTAGGCTAGCCTCTGAACGGCGTGGTGCTCGGGCCGAGTTTTATGCAACGGAATTTGCATCTTGAATTTTGTTTCTCGGTATTTAAATTACGCGATCGGCAGTGCGTTTAAGTAGTTTTGTTTGATTCACTGTGGGCAAAAGGAGTTGTACAGTGCTAATTGGAGGAGCGCAGCGGACAGCGTACTGGACCCAAGGTTGGAGCAGTCAAGCTCGCCTTGGAACACCACACCGGACTTAGGTTCTACTTATCACTCATAACACTAAACATACAGTACACCTTGATTTCATTTAGTTTGCATTAACACTATTCCAATTGTCTAGGTACGCCTCATTAATCCTCAAGTAAGTTAAAATTTATTGTCAGTAAATTTATTTTCAAGGGCCCAGCACGATCTTTATTCTCAACACATTGTACAAAATGCATGTCGGCTTAAATTAAAACAAAAAGGGTAGATCCGGCACTCGCGGCTCAAGTGATCCGCTGAAATTGTGGTGCATGACCATACCATATCATACACGAGTAGGGCGTAGTAGCCAATGCTGGTGATGTACGTACGGCCGCCCGCCCTGGCCCGCGCCCCGCGCCCCGCGCCCGCCCCCCGTACGTACCTCGCGGATGGCCTTGGGCGCCTGCCCGCCGGCCACGAGCAGGGCGTGGGGCCGGCCGCCCGCCCTGGCCCGCGCCCCGCCGCCCCGCGCGCCGCCCCCCGTACGTACCTCGCGGATGGCCTTGGGCGCCTGCCCGCCGGCCACGAGCAGGGCGTGGGGCCGGCCGCCCGCCCTGGCCCGCGCCCCGCGCCCCCGCGCCCGCCCCCCGTACGTACCTCGCGGATGGCCTTGGGCGCCTGCCCGCCGGCCACGAGCAGGGCGTGGGGCCGGCCGCCCGCCCTGGCCCGCGCCCCGCCGCCCCGCGCCCGCCCCCCGTACGTACCTCGCGGATGGCCTTGGGCGCCTGCCCGCCGGCCACGAGCAGGGCGTGGGGCCGGCCGCCCGCCCTGGCCCGCGCCCGCCTGCACACGGCGGAGGTCTGCGCGCGCGCCTCCTCCCCCGCCAGGTGGAACGACATCGCCTCGATCACCAAGTCCTGCAAGCAATACAACACATCGTCAGCTCATTAATGTGGCCGCTGCTTAAGCACGGCCATTCCCTATGGATGTAACGGAGAGATTGGACCGTGACCCGCCCCACCCGTCCGGTGCAGATTGGTGGATGCCGACGACTGCAGATATAACCGGGAACGACGGCTCAAATGCTCAAATGCACGGAGGAGCTCAAGATGTTCAGTTTTTGGTCAGTCAGCCAAAGACCGTGCATTGCAAAAGTTGCTTAACTTCAACGATGGCAGCCAGAATGCGCTAACCACGAGCCCCTCAAAACAATATACAATATAATCTCTGCCTTGAACATAATTTAGACATTTCTTTACGAGTGACTGCGAATTAATAACACGTATGTTGGAAACTACGTTCCTTCTGCTGCAAAAAAAAATAGAACTCTACAACCTTTTCAGGCGTGTCAAATGGTCGCCAGTCACGCTTTTATCTGGCGTCTATAGACACTCAGACCATTAATTCATTACGACAGAACTAATTCAAATGCTAATTAAGCGCATTTAGTACTAAATTAAACAGCACAAGATTTTGAAAACATTCAACAAAAACACATACATACATTTTGTTTATGAAACATGTTTCTTTACACACGCTGTCTACTGCTCACGTGGTTGTCGTACACAAGATACACAGAGATGCGTTCCAAACCTACAACAAATCTCAAATTTGTTCATACATCATTTTAAACAACTTTCATACATTTTATGTCATAATTGAAACGTTCGAGTGAAAAGTTCTACTCAGAGCTTAGATTTGGAACGGAGCCTCCGCTAGCGAGTTCTCAAAAAAATTGTCAATGAAACAATTACCCTGCCCCTCGAACCCGCGCGGGGATCTGTGTATGTGTATCCCATTGGGTTCGGAAAGCAAAAATTTTGTTGATACAAAGAAATATGTGTAGGAAAACAAAGTAATTTGTAGACGGTTTTGTTGAATGTTGATATGTTTTTGTTTTGTAGACTTATGTAGACTAAAACACGCACTGGAGACCCGGCTTTATAAGTACTGCATATCTACGGGCGGGGGGACGCTGCGAGCCAGCAGTACGTCCCCAATGGGTCAGTGTGAACATTATTGTATGTGTGATGAAATTGTCATAAAACGCTCTCGAAACAAAACCGCGCAAAAAACTGGAGACACATTTTACTAGAACACCGCGGGACACTCAAATTTAATACGAGCCTTATGCAGTGCGGCATAAGGGAGAAAGTACAACGACATCTATCTTGTTTACAACTTATGCGCGTTACCTACGTATAAGTAGGTACTACGCACTCGCGGGTGCTAGTTAACTCACAATTTAACGGGACTTTTCTAGAATGTGTCGATTGGCGTATATAAGCGCAATCGGCGCCCCGCAGAAGACAGTTGAGGTTTCAACAGCGATTCCAGAACGACTACAAAGGCGATCAAAGTGCAAGTGTTTAAGTGTGATTATTTAAAGACTTGTAAAGTGAAGTACAGTGTACAGTGAGTGTATTGTGATTACATTATGGGTTAACCTGATTGAACTGTGTGGTGAATAAAATACCTACTGTCAAGCGTGACCTGGTATATAATTTCGAACCCCATCCCGACACGTAACAAAATGTAATTTTGGAACGAGTAACTAAGGCTTCTATCAAATTTGGCTAGGAAGGGCGTGGAACTCAAGGTTAGAGTCGATACTCTTCTCAAAAGGGGCCTCCTTAGGGGCAGGCCCGGGACCTGCTTGTGACGATGGAGTCGGCACGCACACGGTGAATCCTTAGCCTCCTAAGAAGTTCGTATGTTAAGTATAGGGCATACCTTGACGCGCACGCAGGCGGTGGTGAGGGGCGGGGCCGCAGCTCGCGCCAGCAGCACGCGTCATCAGTATAGGGCATCATACCTTGACGCGCACGCAGGCGGTGGTGAGGGGCGGGGCCGCAGCTCGCGCCAGCAGCACGCGTCATCAGTATAGGGCATCATACCTTGACGCGCACGCAGGCGGTGGTGAGGGGCGGGGCCGCAGCTCGCGCCAGCAGCACGCGTCATCAGTATAGGGCATCATACCTTGACGCGCACGCAGGCGGTGGTGAGGGGCGGGGCCGCAGCTCGCGCCAGCAGCACGCGTCATCAGTATAGGGCATCATACCTTGACGCGCACGCAGGCGGTGGTGAGGGGCGGGGCCGCAGCTCGCGCCAGCAGCACGCGTCATCAGTATAGGGCATCATACCTTGACGCGCACGCAGGCGGTGGTGAGGGGCGGGGCCGCAGCTCGCGCCAGCAGCACGCGTCATCAGTATAGGGCATCATACCTTGACGCGCACGCAGGCGGTGGTGAGGGGCGGGGCCGCAGCTCGCGCCAGCAGCACGCGTCATCAGTATAGGGCATCATACCTTGACGCGCACGCAGGCGGTGGTGAGGGGCGGGGCCGCAGCTCGCGCCAGCAGCACGCGTCATCAGTATAGGGCATCATACCTTGACGCGCACGCAGGCGGTGGTGAGGGGCGGGGCCGCAGCTCGCGCCAGCAGCACGCGTCATCAGTATAGGGCATCATACCTTGACGCGCACGCAGGCGGTGGTGAGGGGCGGGGCCGCAGCTCGCGCCAGCAGCACGCGTCATCAGTATAGGGCATCATACCTTGACGCGCACGCAGGCGGTGGTGAGGGGCGGGGCCGCAGCTCGCGCCAGCAGCACGCGTCATCAGTATAGGGCATCATACCTTGACGCGCACGCAGGCGGTGGTGAGGGGCGGGGCCGCAGCTCGCGCCAGCAGCACGCGTCATCAGTATAGGGCATCATACCTTGACGCGCACGCAGGCGGTGGTGAGGGGCGGGGCCGCAGCTCGCGCCAGCAGCACGCGTCATCAGTATAGGGCATCATACCTTGACGCGCACGCAGGCGGTGGTGAGGGGCGGGGCCGCAGCTCGCGCCAGCAGCACGCGTCATCAGTATAGGGCATCATACCTTGACGCGCACGCAGGCGGTGGTGAGGGGCGGGGCCGCAGCTCGCGCCAGCAGCACGTGTTGCGGTAACAGGGGGAGCCGCACGTGCTCCAGCACCACACCCAGCTTGCACTGACGCTCCTGGGGCAAACCGTTTACATTATACATTGATCATTCGCGTACAAAATGGATTGAGAGACAAACGCATGAAAAAAACAATTTGACAACTTTTTTAAAATGATCTTTGTGGACAGAATGAAAAGTGGTCATCCATCAGCCCTGTTGCATATTTCAGTAAAAACCCCAAATCGAAAATTCTACTTTGAGATATGCAGCTGAAATGTTGCTCTGAATAATATGGCGTGTTTACCTGTGCGTGACGTCGCACGACTGTTATTTCAACGTCAAACGACAAACAACGAATGTCTCTTTGACCGGAAGTTAACATGTGTGTGATATCATTTTAGGCTCCGCCAATCATAGATGTTTTCCGTCACGTAACAATAGATAAAAAAACTATTATCTTCTTGTGGGTTTGTAGTAAAATTTAAAATATTTTTCGGTAAAATAATTAGCTTCCAATATTCATAACAATTGGGATTTATTATTTTATGCTGTCAAATATTCTATTCATAACACTAAAAACAGAGAGATCCATTGTGAGGCCAATACACATACAAACTATGATAGCAATCATATATGCATGATTGCTTTATTTCTCACACTTAATTAATTATTATTATTCATCATCATCTGTCTATTAATGTCCCCACTACTGGGGCACAGACCTTTCTTAAGAACGGTATAGAGACTTGTACCCACCACGCGAGCCCAGTGTGGATCGATGGGTGCTAACGACTGCAGATGCATCCGGGACCAACGACTTAACGTGCCTTCCAGAGCTCGACACAATAAGAGAGAGCGGCGAGACATAGCGAATTTATCGACACTTTACAAAATTGTAAACTCTGTTTGGGACGTAGAGGATCTGTTGAGCCGTTTTTCATTCAAAGTGGGAGGAAGTAAAAGGTTGCAGAAACTTTTTTCCGTACCAAATTGTAGTAATAATGTTACCTACAATGACCCATTATATAGAATGTGCAGAGCCCTTAATGAAATAGCCAAAGACGTGGATATCTTTGCCATTTCCCACTCCTCCTACTTACGAATATGCAGGAGCAAATTGTAATTAAATTGATTTTTATTATTATTTATAATGCTTGATTAGTACATACATTTTTTTTTATTTTTTTTTAATTGTAATTGCATCATTAATTATTATAATAATTATTTATTCAAATTTGAGAGCTAAAATTAAGCAAATGTCGTGTTCAGCATCAATTGGGGTGCAAGTTTATGTATTACAATAATTTTGTATAATAATATGTAAGTTATAATTTGTACTCTGTCGCTGTACCATAAATAAATAAATAAATAAATAAACAATAAGTTTTTGATCACCTATCCAATGACCGACCATTTCGAAATTTGCTTAACTTTCACGATCGCAAGCCAAACTCACAACCCACCTGCGCCCTTAAATTCCTTCATTCCATCAATATTATTATTAGATTATTATCTTTTGGGGCTATGCAATACTCAACGGAACTCACTCTTAACTCATTGTAACCTAAAATATATATTGTGACCCGTCACCAAAAGTCCGTCCGTCTGTCTGTGGTGCTGTTTCAGCGGCCAAACCGTAAGAGATAGATAAAGAGAATATTTAAGTTATAAGTTAAGAATAGTCTGATAAGACTACAAACCGGATTTGAGTAACGTAGCACTTCCGGTTTTCGAGAAATCACGAATTTCAAACGAAACCACACAAAATCTCCGAAGTTCTCAATTAATTAAATACATTTTTTTTTAAATCAGGTTTTGGTGAACATTTGGTTCACTGGTTTGCTAGTCTCTTTTAACCCGATAACTTTTAAGAAGTTCTAAAACACTTGCCCAGTTTTACTTCCAGGTAGACAGGATCGCTCAATTCATAATCAATAAAATATCTATGGGACTAACTAACACCTTAGCCTATGGGCAAAACTCCAAATAATTTAATGTCAAAATTATGTAACTGGAAGGCGGAAATATAGAAGGAAAGAAAAAGTATTTATATCTGTCAAGTCAAATATGATTGTTCAGAAAATAAAAAGTTTCCAGGGATACGCACATTTAGGCAAATTCTACCTTACTGTTATGAAATGGTTCTAACCAAGTAAGTTGATGGTGGGTCAGGAATCAAATTGGCTGATTGTACATATTTATCTCATTCAGAGCTGAATATACTAATTAATTTAATAATTACTAATTAATTTACGCTTTTATGATTAAGGAAACGAAAACCAAGAGAAATATATAGTTCTATCATACCTCAGGATTGTGCTGCATCCACCGAATCACTGCATCCAGGATAACTTCCTCATTGGGTACCTGACATCATCGAATATTACATTATCATTAATTATTCGAAATAAATCAACATTAACGAAAAGTAATCAACATTCATATTAATTATTTGTTGCAATGTTACATTACTTTGAATAGTAACATTACTGAAACAGGCCCAAACACGAATTTTGACAGCTCCGTGATAGTATCGATAATGCAAAGCCTAGTTTATTCTTCAGTTTTCATAGAAATTTTGACGATGCAATATGATTACAGAGCCGACAAAATTCGTGTTTCGGTTTCAGGTTTCCTTTAATAAAAGCAAGATGATCGAGGGGTCAGTCAGACTTACGTTGTTTATATATCTGTATATATAAATGCCAACCGTTACTGACTGATTGATCTATCAACGCACACCTCAAACCACTGAACGGATTGCAGTGAAATTTGGCACATATATAGCCATTATGATGTGGGCGTGTGCTAAGGATTTTCCAAAACTTACCCTAAGAGGTTTTACCCCTCGGGGACAACGTTAATACGGGAAAAGAAATTATTAGAATGCAAAGGATAGATTGATGTTACTGACCGTGATTCGATCGCTCTCCAGTAGCTGGCAGAGCACTTCCGAATCCAGCGCGAGAAACTCCTCCGACTCCAGCACCTGCACACAAATATGTACTTATAGTAACATCGCCGACATCAGAAGGGTTGTTCATATTTGTCAAAGACGTGGATTTTTTTATGGCAAGCAAGCGTAATCTCCTACTCTGCGGAGCCCTGGAACGTTACTCATCGACAGAAACACAGGATTGGCGGGCGAGGAGATGCTAACTCAATGAAATCAAAAAAAACCTCTTGTTAATTTAAACTGCTGCTGCACAAAATAATCAGTAATCACAACGCGCGCTTTCTGTCAGACGCCAACCATAAGGCAAATCTGTACTCTGAGACAAGACGGCCGCCCTCAGCACAAGAACTACGGCTTAGGATAGAAGTAATGCAATGACGTTTAGGCGTACGCTTCGGCATAGAATATATGTATTACCTTACCAAAACCGCCTTTGCCGATGGATATACATTCACAGTTTTTTAACGGTTACCTTAGGTGTTTCTCAGGGGTCCATTCTGGGTTATGTGTTTTTTCTTGTTTTCGTAAATGCACCTTAGGTGTTCCTCAGGGTTCCACTGCGGGTTCTGTCCTTTACATTGTCTCACTATTGGGGCGTGTGAGGCAGGTTTTCCTCAGGGCTCTACCGTTGGTCATGTGCTATATGCAGGCTCACCATGGGCGCGTGCGCGTCTTAGTATCTGGTGGCGGCGTGCGCGAGGTCCGCGCATGCGTGGTGGTCGGCGAAGGCGCGTATCCCCAGCGCGTTGTGGGGAGTGAGTGTGCTATATGCAGGCTCACCATGGGCGCGTGCGCGTCGATGTATCTGGTGGCGGCGTGCGCGAGGTCCGCGCATGCGTGGTGGTCGGCGAAGGCGCGTATCCCCAGCGCGTTGTGGGGAGTGAGTGTGCTATATGCAGGCTCACCATGGGCGCGTGCGCGTCTTAGTATCTGGTGGCGGCGTGCGCGAGGTCCGCGCATGCGTGGTGGTCGGCGAAGGCGCGTATCCCCAGCGCGTTGTGGGGAGTGAGTGTGCTATATGCAGGCTCACCATGGGCGCGTGCGCGTCGATGTATCTGGTGGCGGCGTGCGCGAGGTCCGCGCATGCGTGGTGGTCGGCGAAGGCGCGTATCCCCAGCGCGTTGTGGGGAGTGAGTGTGCTATATGCAGGCTCACCATGGGCGCGTGCGCGTCGATGTATCTGGTGGCGGCGTGCGCGAGGTCCGCGCATGCGTGGTGGTCGGCGAAGGCGCGTATCCCCAGCGCGTTGTGGGGAGTGAGTGTGCTATATGCAGGCTCACCATGGGCGCGTGCGCGTCTTAGTATCTGGTGGCGGCGTGCGCGAGGTCCGCGCATGCGTGGTGGTCGGCGAAGGCGCGTATCCCCAGCGCGTTGTGGGGAGTGAGTGTGCTATATGCAGGCTCACCATGGGCGCGTGCGCGTCTTAGTATCTGGTGGCGGCGTGCGCGAGGTCCGCGCATGCGTGGTGGTCGGCGAAGGCGCGTATCCCCAGCGCGTTGTGGGGAGTGAGTGTGCTATATGCAGGCTCACCATGGGCGCGTGCGCGTCGATGTATCTGGTGGCGGCGTGCGCGAGGTCCGCGCATGCGTGGTGGTCGGCGAAGGCGCGTATCCCCAGCGCGTTGTGGGGAGTGAGTGTGCTATATGCAGGCTCACCATGGGCGCGTGCGCGTCGATGTATCTGGTGGCGGCGTGCGCGAGGTCCGCGCATGCGTGGTGGTCGGCGAAGGCGCGTATCCCCAGCGCGTTGTGGGGAGTGAGTGTGCTATATGCAGGCTCACCATGGGCGCGTGCGCGTCGATGTATCTGGTGGCGGCGTGCGCGAGGTCCGCGCATGCGTGGTGGTCGGCGAAGGCGCGTATCCCCAGCGCGTTGTGGGGAGTGAGTGTGCTATATGCAGGCTCACCATGGGCGCGTGCGCGTCGATGTATCTGGTGGCGGCGTGCGCGAGGTCCGCGCATGCGTGGTGGTCGGCGAAGGCGCGTATCCCCAGCGCGTTGTGGGGAGTGAGTGTGCTATATGCAGGCTCACCATGGGCGCGTGCGCGTCGATGTATCTGGTGGCGGCGTGCGCGAGGTCCGCGCATGCGTGGTGGTCGGCGAAGGCGCGTATCCCCAGCGCGTTGTGGGGAGTGAGTGTGCTATATGCAGGCTCACCATGGGCGCGTGCGCGTCGATGTATCTGGTGGCGGCGTGCGCGAGGTCCGCGCATGCGTGGTGGTCGGCGAAGGCGCGTATCCCCAGCGCGTTGTGGGGAGTGAGTGTGCTATATGCAGGCTCACCATGGGCGCGTGCGCGTCGATGTATCTGGTGGCGGCGTGCGCGAGGTCCGCGCATGCGTGGTGGTCGGCGAAGGCGCGTATCCCCAGCGCGTTGTGGGGAGTGAGTGTGCTATATGCAGGCTCACCATGGGCGCGTGCGCGTCGATGTATCTGGTGGCGGCGTGCGCGAGGTCCGCGCATGCGTGGTGGTCGGCGAAGGCGCGTATCCCCAGCGCGTTGTGGGGAGTGAGTGTGCTATATGCAGGCTCACCATGGGCGCGTGCGCGTCTTAGTATCTGGTGGCGGCGTGCGCGAGGTCCGCGCATGCGTGGTGGTCGGCGAAGGCGCGTATCCCCAGCGCGTTGTGGGGAGTGAGTGTGCTATATGCAGGCTCACCATGGGCGCGTGCGCGTCGATGTATCTGGTGGCGGCGTGCGCGAGGTCCGCGCATGCGTGGTGGTCGGCGAAGGCGCGTATCCCCAGCGCGTTGTGGGGAGTGAGTGTGCTATATGCAGGCTCACCATGGGCGCGTGCGCGTCGATGTATCTGGTGGCGGCGTGCGCGAGGTCCGCGCATGCGTGGTGGTCGGCGAAGGCGCGTATCCCCAGCGCGTTGTGGGGAGTGAGTGTGCTATATGCAGGCTCACCATGGGCGCGTGCGCGTCGATGTATCTGGTGGCGGCGTGCGCGAGGTCCGCGCATGCGTGGTGGTCGGCGAAGGCGCGTATCCCCAGCGCGTTGTGGGGAGTGAGTGTGCTATATGCAGGCTCACCATGGGCGCGTGCGCGTCTTAGTATCTGGTGGCGGCGTGCGCGAGGTCCGCGCATGCGTGGTGGTCGGCGAAGGCGCGTATCCCCAGCGCGTTGTGGGGAGTGAGTGTGCTATATGCAGGCTCACCATGGGCGCGTGCGCGTCGATGTATCTGGTGGCGGCGTGCGCGAGGTCCGCGCATGCGTGGTGGTCGGCGAAGGCGCGTATCCCCAGCGCGTTGTGGGGAGTGAGTGTGCTATATGCAGGCTCACCATGGGCGCGTGCGCGTCGATGTATCTGGTGGCGGCGTGCGCGAGGTCCGCGCATGCGTGGTGGTCGGCGAAGGCGCGTATCCCCAGCGCGTTGTGGGGAGTGAGTGTGCTATATGCAGGCTCACCATGGGCGCGTGCGCGTCGATGTATCTGGTGGCGGCGTGCGCGAGGTCCGCGCATGCGTGGTGGTCGGCGAAGGCGCGTATCCCCAGCGCGTTGTGGGGAGTGAGTGTGCTATATGCAGGCTCACCATGGGCGCGTGCGCGTCGATGTATCTGGTGGCGGCGTGCGCGAGGTCCGCGCATGCGTGGTGGTCGGCGAAGGCGCGTATCCCCAGCGCGTTGTGGGGAGTGAGTGTGCTATATGCAGGCTCACCATGGGCGCGTGCGCGTCGATGTATCTGGTGGCGGCGTGCGCGAGGTCCGCGCATGCGTGGTGGTCGGCGAAGGCGCGTATCCCCAGCGCGTTGTGGGGAGTGAGTGTGCTATATGCAGGCTCACCATGGGCGCGTGCGCGTCGATGTATCTGGTGGCGGCGTGCGCGAGGTCCGCGCATGCGTGGTGGTCGGCGAAGGCGCGTATCCCCAGCGCGTTGTGGGGAGTGAGTGTGCTATATGCAGGCTCACCATGGGCGCGTGCGCGTCGATGTATCTGGTGGCGGCGTGCGCGAGGTCCGCGCATGCGTGGTGGTCGGCGAAGGCGCGTATCCCCAGCGCGTTGTGGGGAGTGAGTGTGCTATATGCAGGCTCACCATGGGCGCGTGCGCGTCGATGTATCTGGTGGCGGCGTGCGCGAGGTCCGCGCATGCGTGGTGGTCGGCGAAGGCGCGTATCCCCAGCGCGTTGTGGGGAGTGAGTGTGCTATATGCAGGCTCACCATGGGCGCGTGCGCGTCGATGTATCTGGTGGCGGCGTGCGCGAGGTCCGCGCATGCGTGGTGGTCGGCGAAGGCGCGTATCCCCAGCGCGTTGTCGGGAGTGAGCGCGGCCGCCAAGAAGGCGCAGCACGCGGCGCGGACGCCCCATACTTGGACCAGCGACGCGCCCGCCAGGAGACTCTGCGACGTACGCACAATACGGATGATGACAAGGTTAACGAGTAAACGGAATTGCTATTTAGTCCTTCAGTTAGATTATCAAATAAAATGGACACAAATTTTATTAACACGAAGGACACCGGGCAAAATATTCCCAGCTCCGCCAACAACGTAATTAGTATGAATCGATAGATCTATGTAAAACTAGCCTGTTTTATTATGACACCGTAAAATATATCCTGCTAGTCAAAAGATATGACACCGTAAAAGAAACCTGGTAGTAAAAGATATGGACACATGGGCATATTTAAGTAGCTAAATAAACTCATTTTATATTATTAGTAACCATAATAATATGCCATATCGTACTATACAACCAGATATACGACAAAACCTGCCGACCATCTTGCGCTTGCACTAACTGAGCCACCTCAAAACGGTTTACGGGGTTTGAGGGACTTGCAGTTGCAAATAGTCGACTCGTCTTACTTCGTTGTGATTGTGCGCTCCCTGTCACTTGATTGGTTTTTATCTAACACGCTTTGGACATTGGAACACGATTATGGGTTATTTTCAATTAGTATGGATGAACTGGAATCATGTTTTCTCCGAATCGTGGACAAGTTTGAATGATTTGTGGTCGTTACATATTTGAAAAAACTCCAACCCATGCAGGGACTTTTGGATTTACTCTAATGTGGCAGAATAACATAGGACACCCTTGCACTTTGTGAAGTACTCCCATAATACCTGAGCCCTCTATGTAGGGTCGAACTAACTTAATTAATTTTCTTGTTTCATTAATGTTCGTTCGTTATAGTACTGCTACATATTTAACTTAAAATAACTAAAGACTCCCGGGATGGAATTTGTTGCGCTTTGGCACAGACGATCATGACTATAATACCTTTCAAATAAATGTAGTTAACCCGTGGCGGACGTGGGTGCAGCGTCCATACATTTTTGCCCAATGTCCTTTAATTTAATTTTATAGGGCGACCTACACGAACAAAAATTTGTACTTTAAAGACCAATATTTTATACGGACCCCTAAATCGAAAAATAGTCTTAGAACCCCTAGTATTTATAAATGAGCTATACAACGATATTCCACACGATGGGGTAAACAATGAAAAAATAAAATCATCTCCAGATCAGATGAAGGGGTGCAAAAAATATTTTTCAAAATTTATCTACCAATTTGTCGGCATGGTCGATATACATTTTCACGTCACAAAATTACAGCTCTGTAGTGCTAACAGTCTCCAAGCAAAACGAGGACGGCCAGACGGACGTGACGAAACTATAAGGGTTCCTTATCAGGACTACAGAACCAGAAAAATAAACTGCATTGCCCCTCAAATTATCGATAACAGGTAAATTCTCTTCACTCACCGAGCGAATTAAAACTACGAAATTAGAACAAGAATAAACAATGCTAGTTAAACAACAAACGCATACTTAATGATAATTTATAAAACTTACTTGTACGTTGTCTTCAGTTATTTCAAGTGATTCAGGTGTGTAGATATACTCAATTATGGCTTCCAAGGCGTGGGGTTCAATATTCTGAAACAAGTACAATAAATTTGTAATATTTTCTCATAAGCGCTTTAATAGTTCGAAATAAATGTTGATATGTTCTGTGCTATTCAACAATCCCCCGTTAAACGTATTTAGCATAGGATTTGATTGAAAAAATCTGGTACTTCTTATTTTCATGTGGTTTCATTTATGAGTGGTACTAATTAAATTAACAGGAATAACAAACAAGGAAAGATTGTGTGATATACTAAAACGTTGCAGATACTTGCGAACAGAAAAACAGAGGGCATAAAAAGGTAGCAATCCCGTAATAAGCCGCTCGTCGAACTGCGTGAACATGGCGAGGAAGTACGGCTGTGTGTGTGTGTACAATGGGCACAGTACTTGTATGGTGATGGTGGGCTGTGACCGCTCGTCGAACTGCGTGAACATGGCGAGGAAGTATGGCTGCGTGTGTGTGTACAATGGGCACAGTACTTGTATGGTGATGGTGGGCTGTGACCGCTCGTCGAACTGCGTGAACATGGCGAGGAAGTATGGCTGTGTGTGTGTGTACAATGGGCACAGTACTTGTATGGTGATGGTGGGCTGTGACCGCTCGTCGAACTGCGTGAACATGGCGAGGAAGTATGGCTGCGTGTGTGTGTACAATGGGCACAGTACTTGTATGGTGATGGTGGGCTGTGACCGCTCGTCGAACTGCGTGAACATGGCGAGGAAGTATGGCTGTGTGTGTGTGTACAATGGGCACAGTACTTGTATGGTGATGGTGGGCTGTGACCGCTCGTCGAACTGCGTGAACATGGCGAGGAAGTATGGCTGTGTGTGTGTGTACAATGGGCACAGTACTTGTATGGTGATGGTGGGCTGTGACCGCTCGTCGAACTGCGTGAACATGGCGAGGAAGTATGGCTGTGTGTGTGTGTACAATGGGCACAGTACTTGTATGGTGATGGTGGGCTGTGACCGCTCGTCGAACTGCGTGAACATGGCGAGGAAGTATGGCGACGCGGCCGCCAGCACGGCGCGGTGGGCCGCCACCCCCGGCCCCGGGGACTCTGATCCTTCGGCCTGTGCCTGCGCAAACAAAATCACGCTAAACCCCCCCTCTAATGCTTAAACACATTGAGAAATACCGACACACAACACATCTACAATTTGTTACAATGTAGAAAATTATTTTGTTGCAATCTCTTACTAATTCAAGGTAGTGGTAAAGCAAAGTTCTTATAGATGGCGTCTAATTCCCTAGATAAATAGAGAATTGGCCTGTAAAATAGGTATGTATTTAATTTTTGTGTTAAAGACCCGAGCAAAACACAAAAAGACCATAATATTAACACCTAGTCAGTAGATACACAATGGGTAATTCTGGCGAAAAAACACGTTTGTAATTTAATCTCAAGTTATATTTTCACCTATTCAATTAAAAACAAAAATAAAGTAACAAGTACTTACCGTATGTAAACATAACCTTAAAAAATATTTTTATGCTATGGACTCGAGTCATGAGCTCGCAAATATAACGTTAGGATTTCTCAAGAGCATAAAACTAATGACATTTGCAATGCTTCAATACCTTTGCTGTTTTTACAAAACCTTTAGCTGCTACCATTCATATCAACAAATGAAAATCAGTATCATTAGGTTGTATTAGTTATCTTGTTAACATCAAAGTAGTATGGCCAATATCTGGTGTTTGTGTCCAAAATTTCTTGTCTATAATGCGATTCAAATAAGAATAGGAAAGCCAATGACCTCTATCTGTCAAATGTCGCTTGAAAAGTACGGTTTGCAAAAAAAAACTTGAAACACTTTTTTAGCACTCCGCTAATTCAAGAATAAAAACCAAACATTTGTAAACAAACAATAACAAATATTGATGATTAATATCGGTTGATATTTTTTTTCACTTATTGATCTTTGGCCATGAATGGTTGACAACCTAAATCGTCAACCAAATGTCACTTTAAGTTCAGTTCAAAAACTCGATTTCAAACTTTCGTTTACATAAAGGATGCATGCTCGTATGTGACCTAGTAATAGTGCATGATTATTCAAAACTACTCCAGCGATAATGCAGAGATGAGCGGAATAAAAGAGCTAGATTCTGATTAATGTTTTTTCTCACAGTCTTAATAAATAAATATTATTAAAAATCGGTGGTTTCTTTTTCTCACTTAAACTTAGTAATTAAGTTTTATTAAATAAAAACATTTTTTTGTTCACTCTACCTATTTGGTTTGAATTGACAGCTATGACATCACAATATGGCGCCCAGTCGGTCCTATTCTTAGTTGAATCGCATCATAGGTTTGTATGGTGAGGGCTTGTTTATCGTTTTTAACCCTGGTTATGCTGTGGAAGGACTTTGTGCAAGTATAAGGAACTAGGATTTAGGAAAGAGTAGTATAAAGGACAGCTGCATAATCGTCTCACCTGTATGACGACATCGCAGAGCGTGTGGTCGCGGCGCAGTCGGGACAGCGCATCGAGCAGGCGCGCGGGGTGCGCGGAGGGCGGGTCGTACGCCGGCTCGCCGCCCGCCGGCCGCTGCGACGACTCGTCCAGCGACGACTGCGACGCGCAACGAACGAGCACGCTGGTACAGGAACCATGGGAACGTTAGTAATGCGGGTGTGGCGGCGCGACCGGCGACCACTGCGATGCGCAACGTACGACCACACTCTTACAACAACCAAGTAAATATGAATAATGTCGCGGCGCATATGTGACAGCCCGTCGAGCAGATGATGAACGCACGATGGAACTATGTAGTCATTATATATGGTATATAAATTTATATATATTATTTATACACCGCAAATTTTGAGTTAACAGAGAAACCTTAAAATCGTGTAAATAAAAATAGTGTGACCAGTTATAAACAGTGAACAAACTACAGCCCCATACAAAAATATTGATTTAGATAAGAGAGAGATAAGGGCTGTGTTCCAAACCTACGCTCCAGGTGTCAAATGTCATATTCAATAAAAGTTTCCTTCATACATTTATGTCTACCTTGAAACGTCAGAGTGAAAAGTTGCATTTGGAACGTATATGACGCACTCCGTTACCGTACTATCCGTGCGGTGACGGAGAAAGAATACCAATCACCGCCCCTTCACTTCCCGCGGATGTCGTACGAAGCGACCGAGGGATATTAAAGCTTTCATCTGCTCTTCTGGTGGTAGGGTGCCTAACACCCGCCTGGTTTGTTACCACCGTACGCATGGTGAAAAACCCGTGAAGTGTTTCACGCGCGTTTCAGGATCAGCCAGCGTACAACCAGAGCTCGAGTGGAGATCGCCGCGACGGATTCGGTCCAATGGAGGCATCCGTCGAACCGATGCCGGAAGGACGGCATCGACTCACCGACCAGGGAGACCCGTAGAAACAGCTGTCCCGCTGGCCGCCCGTGGCATAGTACAGGGGCCTGAACGTCCTTAACCAGTTCGCGAGGGTGCCCCATCATGTCACACAAAATCTCGGGGTGGACCGTCGTCCGGTTGGTGCCGCGTGGGGTCCCGGCGGCCACTCCCGGTGGGGTGCGGGGGCCCTTCCGTCGACGATTCACGTCTCTCAATTTTTTCTCATGATGGCAGCTCGTAAAACAAAATTTGGTTGTACAGCGGTGCACACTCGTCTCGCTTTCCGCGCTGTTTGAGGTCGAGTTCTGTAATATACACGGACTCCACTCTAACCTCAATGCTGTCCACCACCATCTTGAGACAGCACGGCATTATTGTTTCTCACGGAGACACAAATACTTCCGCTGACACAGGCTACCTTAACTATCCCGGCTAAGTGCTTGAAGAATCCTTCAAAGCAAAAGCTGTATGTTTGGGCGGATGTTTGTTGTCGCCGTTTGAGCTGCCTGGAAAACCACTTCTTCTCAATGTTGGCGGTACATGTAGACTCTGGTCCTTTGGTCAGAGTCTACGTGTGCCTCTACAGATCCCACACCGGCGACGCTGAGACAACTCGACTGTTTGACCACCTTAGTAGGGCAGCAGATGATGCCGTGGCGCAATTTCCCAACGCAGAACTGGTGTTTTTGGGGGACCTTAACGCCCACCACGGTTTGTGGTTGGGCTCCACCAAGACTGACCATGCAGGGATCTCTGCCCATACATTCGCTCTCACGCATGACTTGACACAACTGGTCGATCAGCCCACCAGTATTCCAGATATAGCAAGTCAAGCGCCTTCTTTACTAGACCTTCTGCTTACGACTCATCCGCAGGAGTATCAGGTTGTGGTTCGAGCCCTACTGGGTTCATCAGATCATTGCCTGATATGTGCCTAGGTGCCACAGGCCAAAACCCCTCGACCATTGGTGGTCAAACGCAGGGTCTGGCACTATGGAAGTTCCTTGGAAGCAGCGCTGCTTCGGTGAAAAGGACCTATCGGCCAGCGCGGTTGCTATTACTTAGGAAATCGTAATGGGAATGGAGTATTACATTCCTCATTCTGATCTCATCAGTAAGGGCTCACGTAACCGCTGGTTCAACCGCGACTGTGCTGATGCTGTTTCACGTAAGCAGGCGGCATATCGCGCTTGGATCAGAGGCCGCGCTCTTAAGGATCCCGGGGTTGACTCACTGAAAGCTGCCTATAATAGTGTTTCCAAGTCTTGTAAAGATGGCTTACATAAAAGCGGATGCCCAACGTGTAGCACGTACTGGCCTGGCATAAAGAATCATGTCGGTCATTATAACCGGACATAATTTATCAAAAATAGGTCATAGTAAGCTACATGTCACTGTAAGGGAAGTCATTGTATCCGACTTTTTTACAAATTTTTATATGAAAACCAAACTTCATAGTGAAATTACGTCATAATAATCCATTGGTCAATATAGGTGGAGTTCTAATAAACGGATTCTACTGTAATTATCTATTATAGAATAATTATCCATTTAATGTCTATAGATATTAAAAGTATATTTATTTGAATTTGAAATTTGAATTTACAACAATTAACATTGTTAAGGTTTCAAAATTGCAGAATGAATGAGTTAATATGGAAATATTATTTAAAAAACATAAAAAGTATTTTGCTGAGATTTAATTAAATTGTTGTTTGAATAAGCTGGTAAAGTTTCTCAGATAACTCAAAATTTACTGAAAAGTGAAATAATCCATCGTCATCGGCTTAATAATGTCCTTAACACTGGAGCATAGGCCTACCCTGTGGATATGGAGTAGGGGATTATTGTACTTGCACTCAAATTGTTTTTGGACACAGAAATTATATAAATACAATATAGTTTATTTGGTTTAGGCTGTTAAAAGCACTTTTAAATATTATTATAACAGCTTAAATATTTGACTAGCGGCCACCCATAACTTCATCTGTGTTAACTTTACTTTTTGAGATTTCCTCAGATCTCTAATATTTTTTTTGTATAAAAATTATCGTATGTCTCAATCCAGGTAATAAACTTAGCATGCATAGCCAAATGTTATACAAACATTTTTTTTTAATTTGTTTTAGGGACTTTTGGACTTAATCCTGTAAAAACCAGTTAAGCAGTTTTTTTTTTTGATTAAGTAACAAACATAAAATCTTTCATAATTATAATATAAGTAGGATTTCTTAATTCTAATACATAACATTTGGATGTTAATCACTATAAAGATCCTCTTGATTCTTAGGCTTCTATTAGTTATGCTTTTTAAAATGAATTAAAATAATTAAATCCGAATAACCCAACCCCTGAACAATTATTACTACTGAGCAGAATCAGTAAATACTATATTGATCCCTTCTGTGATGGCTCCTTTGACATAACATACTATATAAATAAATAAACCGATAAAGACTATCAACCCATTACATTTATGTTGTGTAGGTAGAACCAAAAGACAAATATTTACCTTAGGATAACTCTCATTCCGTTGTCAAACCTCAATAATGACATTGACATTGTTTGGGTCCATGAAATTGTTCAAAACTTTAGAGAGCTTATAGGAGTATCACACAGAATAATTCAAAATCAAAAACATAATTATTTCAATATAAATTTTAAAGTAAACTGAGTGAAGCACTACTGAATACTGCCTGTTTAATACTTAAAGCAGCTGTGAGTTTAATTTACTCAAATTACATTCCAATGATGCAATTATGTTAATGATAATTGATATCAGGTTTTGGCTATTAGCAACACTTACAACATGACAACAAAAACTTGCAAATAAATAAGTGGAGAGGAGGAGGACTGATAATAATAAATGTGTAACAACTGACATTCTATTGTTTTGACTATATGAAAAAAGTTTTGTTTTAATTTTGATAAGCAAATATGTTTTCTGGGTCCATATCATTAACCATACTTTAATAATTGAATCAAGGGGCACACTATACCTGTACCTCCCTCGTTCACCGTCACCTTCCGCAGCACTGTAATCCACTCCTAACCTGAATTAAGTAAAACATTAGAAATACACACCTGCATGATAACTAAAAGTTACATATAAATAGCAAAATAATATTTCAAATATGTTTTGTATAATATATTGGTTTGTTAATGTTTATCATTAAAGTTCATAGTCGGTAATCATTAGAACCATTCAAAGATGTATGAACAATAATATATGTTTGCCTTCATTATTGGCTATAAATTAATATTATTTTAAATCAATTATAATAATTTGGATTGAGTAGAAGGTATCATGTGCACAAGAAAACATTATTTCCTTATTAAACCATGTATTGTTGACCTTTCACCCAAAGATATGGAGAAATATACTTACTGAGGTCGCTCCCTCTCCTGGTCGTTGTTGCCGTCCATGTTTGCACCAGATAAAATTTGGGTATGCTGTGTGCTATAGGTCAGTCGTTAAGCACAAAATCACAGTCGATTTTTGAGAATTATATTTCTTAGGTGGCACATAACAGAATGGCTATCGAGCCATGAAGAACAAGAACAACACGACACATTTACTTTGAATTTACAAATATATATACACTTACTAAAATAATTCTTAACATAGCATTCAAAACCTAATTAATTTACTGCTGTTTTAACAAATAATAACAAATTACAAGCAGGAAAACAACAAAAACAAACCGTCAGTCTCTTGCAAATATTGACTTGTCAGATTGTTTTTTTTTTAAATTGTTAATTGTATGGCATTGGAATTGTAGATTATAATGCCATAGCGAAATTCGGAGCAATTCAGTAAAAGATAAAGTCCATTATCATTATTTTTTATTTATTTAATATTCATGATATATAAACATTTACTTATATTTAAAGAATTTTGTATTCAAAAAGATTGTGAGTGTCTTCCGCACTAAAGGCACCTAACGTTTTAAAATGACACACAAATTGAAAATCCCATAGATTTATTAAAAATCCATGGAAAATCATAGTTTCTTGTCAAAATTTACGTCATTTAGCTCATAATTTTCTATTTACTTATTAATTCTATGATTGACCTGTAATTATGGCAAGCAATTCGGGTTTAGGTTTTTCTTCGATAAATAAATATAAAATATCTAGACGAGGAAGGAAACTGCAGGCAACCGATGATCAGAGGACGTTGATGGCCCTGCCTAAAGACGTGCCTGAAAGGACATGGTATATTGCAATTTTTTGCTCTGGCCATTGTGTTATCCTCCCTGGAGATCATTATTTTTACTTAATCTAGCAAGGTAGATGCCGATGTCGTATTGTCGTAGTTAAATCTGATTACTATTGCACCAGGGCCGAAATTCTTCAAAGAGAGGAAGAAGAGCTGTTTATATTGGAGCTCCGGGAAGACATAATAGAAGATGCTATGGCAGTTGTATATGAACGTTATATGGAGAAACAAAACGCGCTATTTACCGTGCATTGCGCCGCAGAGGCTTGGCTTAAACTCATTGACTGGTAATGGTAGATTGATATTGGTAGTTAAAATCAAAGCAATAATTTGGATCCCTGATTTGATTTCGAGACTTCCTTGGTGATTGATGAACATCATGAGCTGTCATCAATCATCATCCTCGACAACAAACACTATGCTATGATGGACAGAGCAGTATTGTACTTCAGAAGTATTAATTTTAGGAGCGGCCTTGTTACGCGTTAAGTAACATTTATTGATGTGTTAAAGTATACGCCCTCATATGTCGTTGGAGGAGCTTGATGGCGCAAGTGGTTAGCGTGTTCATCTGCGATCGTTGAAGTTTAAGGAACTTTCGCAGCAGTCGATCATTAGATGGACAACCTCAAATTTACTATCTCGAGCTCCTCCGTGCTTCGAAAGGCACTTTAAGTCCCGGCTGCATCGGTGGTCGTTAGCACCCACCAATCTGCACTAGGACCGTCTCCCTATTCTATTTATAGAGAAGGCCTGCGCCCCAGCTGTGGGGACATTGATAGGCTGTGATGATAGAGGTTGGCGAAGGAGCTTCTGATAATTACTTAACTATACTTAACCAAGACCGATGGGCGCTGGCGGGCGCCTACAGGTGATGGACATTAAGTTTGCTAATTCAATACCAACGAAATGTATGTTTGTGATGTTGAAGACTATTTTTCAAATATAGTAAAGTAATTATCAGAAGCTGCTTTGCCAACCTCCATGAAGGAAACAGTATGGAGTTGTGGAGTACCTATTGTTTTACCGAAAGGTTGTATGATATAAATAATTTTACAAAATGTTCTCTCATATGTCTACTATGAAACGCCTGTTGTTTTGGAATAGCAATAGTCTAAACTTTGCTATTTATTTTCCTCATCACTTTACATTTGAAAGCTACTAGTTGCGGCCACTAAATGCTGACCGCATTACTAGTGGCTCAGTTTAGGCACCAGACGCAGCCACCAATTGCAACCGCTAGTGGCTTAGTGGCGTATTTCCGACGAGAGCTTGCAGCGTTTGTTAAATGGAAACACTACTGATTTCGTTGTTGTTGATTATTATACTGAGGCGTATAAAAGTCGTCGAATTCAAAACCATCGTCGTGGTACTGTAACCCATTGTGCGCGCGATGCGAGTGACAAAATGCGGCCACAAGTAGCGAGCTCGGGTGTCTCCCGCAGCTTTTGGTCCGAACGCGGCCACTCGAATGCTAAGTTTGCGTCTATACTACACGAAATGTCTTGAATGGCAGCCAGTAGGGGCTTAATGTACTATTTCTTTGCGCTTAGGCATTTCTATCGGCATGACCCCGGCGAGGACCCGAGCGCGTATCCGCCCTGCTTCATCCCGAAGCGGGCGGAGTCGTGGGCGGCGGACGAGATGCCAGCGCCCTCGCCCAAGGACACCTGGTGCCACCGCGACCTAAACGTGGTGGAACACGCCACTGACGAGATGCCGGTCAAGAGCCCCAGCGCCACCTCCTTGGACCTGCCTGTCGTAGATGAGATTCCCTCGCAATACTGGTAAATCCCTTCTACTTAATTTCTTGCATAATGTACTATGTGTTGTCGACGACTTCCGTGGTCGAGTGTTGTGGGTGGCAGATGTTTGTGTGATGAATACGAGCATTTGTACTCCAGTCATGGATGTTTAATATGTATTTCTATATAAATATACTTATATATGTACTGCATATGTATTCTATCCGTTATCCTAGTATGCCATAACATAAGCCTTACAGTGCTTACTTTGGGGCTAGGCTAATTGGTGTGAGTGTTGGAAATATTTATTATTGTACTCGCTGTAAGAGTGCAATGTAATAAGATTGGTTGACACTACTAAGCTCCTCCCAGATTTACTAAAAGTGCCAACTATCCGTGCGTGCCCAATCCTATATTTCCCCAGAGTACTTATTCATTGCGTCGCTCTATTTTTTTTTATAGCTAGGTAGGCAAATGACTCTACCCCACCTGATGTTATGTGGTGATATAGTCCAAACGCGAAGATAGCTGGTACAGCAACACCAACCATCCTCACGTTGCCGGCCTGCAAAAATGCTTAAAAAAAATTATATGTGTCAGCAAGAATACCACCGGCTTTATTATAAATAGATTTCTATCTGGATTCTGATAACCTCTCCTCCCTATAATGGTAACCATACACACTACGATAAACCGTCCGAACGGTACCGATAAATCGTAGCGTGTATGTTATAAAACTGCACAGTTTCCTATACGTACGCCACGTACGATAAACTGTTCCGTTGAACTGTACAGTCTGATCGTAACGATTTCTCGTATTGTGTATGGCTACCATTAGAAATTGCCTCGAAGTTCTTCGTTGGCTTTCCTTTCCCTAAACCAATTAATTTACTGGTATAAAATATGTACCTATGAAGTAGAAGGGACTCTTTTATAGGGGCAGCGGTAGTCAGAATAAAGATATAAATTATTTACAATATAGCCGATGATATTCTTGATGTGTTAACGTTGGGAATGTAATATGTACTTAGTAATAACATAAGTAATTTTTTATGTCATTATTAAATTTAGTGGAACTCAGCTGACCTACTTTTAAACTGCACTTTAAATGTGTCACAGGTAAATAAATAAATAGATTAGGAAGTCGGGTTATCAGTATTGTGTGAATGTTCAGTGCTAAGGTGGGTTGGCCAGGGCATGGATCAGGTCTAAGTCCATGCCCTTGCCATTTACTTACTATCTTTGATTATAATCAAATGTAGTTTACCTATGTTAAAATAAGCAATATACAGTAAAACCCGTTTAAGACGATTTCACAGGGACTTAACCAAAAACGCGTCTTAAGCGGGAAAGCGTATTATGCGGGATACGAAAATCTGGAATTTGTATGTACAATATTTAAGAATTATGTATATAATATTTAATAAGATAAGATTAGTTCCCCTAGAGGGCGCTGTTTAGTAAACATTGGCTCCCGTACGTATTTAGTAATAAAATATTAAATAACGTCAATTTAACCTTTTAGTGGCATAATTATATAAAAAAATAACTAAATATTTAGTGAAAGTGTTGGTGAAAAAAATTATTGAGAAGAATAGTAAAAAAAGTCAAAAACAAAAATACGACAAATTTATTAGTGTAACTTAAGTAAATGACAATTAATTGAGAAGTTTATTATTACGAAGTTACTAAATGTGTGAAGTGACTTAAAAAAAGCTTTACAGAACAATGAACAGTGCATAATTTTTAAAGTTGAATAACGGTTTTATGAAATGATTAACAACTTTAAGTGGACACTGACCTCTTCACAGACGTAGCATTTCAACTAATAAGACAACTAGCGCCATCTATTGAGCAGTAGCTGAACTATTAAGTGTGTATAGGAAAATATAAAGTGACGACTAATATTTTATTTTTATTATGTGGACAGTTATAGCATAAAAAAAAAAATTGAGCAAAGAATTGTATAACGCTTTTTTCTACAATACCTAAAACTATATAGACAGAAGCAAAGGTATGTTTAAACGAGGAATGATATTACTTAAAATATACTAACGCCATCTAGAGTGCTTTTTGAGAATTGCTACAAAACCTCATAATTCAATTTGGCATGCTGTGACTGCGTTGCTTCTGCTTACTGTTTAACCTAGCGCGTTTATTATTACTACCGGAAGATGGAGCACACATGCGCAGCTTGTTTAATAAAAATACCAGACAGAAGATTTTTGACCTGTTCACTATGCACAGAAAAGTATGACTTACAATGTGTCAATGTATCGGAGAAGCGGTTTTATAATACTATGAGCAAGGAGCATAAATTATCTTGGATATGCCCAAAATGCTCATCAAAACAACCAACATACGATAACACTAACACCCCAGTGCGACGACAAAAGGACGGCCTAAACATTGAAATTAATTCCCCATTTAATGAAAATGTCACAAAAAGGCGTAAAACACACACTAATGGTAACGAAAACCCTGAAATTTCCTTTATTTTGGATGACACTATTTCAGGTGGAGATACAATACAGAATCAATCCACATTCAATACAGAAAATACACTGCTCACAGAAATTCGAGAACTAAGAGCGCAAATTACATTACAAGCTCAAAAACAAGAAGCTAGAGATCGTGAACTCTCTCATACTATAAAAATACTGCAAACATGTTTACTTAACACAACAAATCAGAATATCAACTTAGAGACAGAAATTAAATTGTTGCGACAAAATACAGAGGATAATACAAAGCGTATACATGATTTAGAAAAAGAGATTTTAATATTAAAACGCGAACAAAGGGAAACTAAACCAATGAAAATAAATAGTACAGACACAAAAAATAACAAAACTGACCTCAATTTAAAAGAACAAAGTTATTCAAAACAAGAAGTACATAAGAAAATAATAGTTCTTTATGGACTAAACGAAACCAGATACGAAACTGAATACGAGTTACATGAAAAAATTTTAAATTTATTTTATGATATAGCAGGGATAGATCTTTCGGGATACGTAGAAGATTTAAGCCGTATAGGTGGGAGGGGTACGAGACGACCTTTGAAAATAGAATTACTGAGCAAACAAGTTACGAAATGCATCTTAGAATGCAAATTATACTTTAAAAATACAGGCTTATGGATATCAGAGTATCTCGACGAATCAGGCTTACAACACAGAAAACAAGAAAGAGAAAGTTTCAGAAGGAATAGACAATTTAAACATACGACAGAACTGGAGAAAAGCCCTTCACAATATCATCCACGCAAACAGAATCAAAATATGACAACTAACGCAGAACTACAAATAGGAATAACATCACAATCTCAACCTGTTACAAATCAACTCGGAAGAAACTATAATTCCTTTCGTCCCTAACAGGAAAAATAACAATTCAGTATTCTTATTTCAAAATGTGAGAAGCATTAAAAACAAGTTACACATAATAGAAGACTTAGTGGAAGATTATAATTTTGCTGCTTTATGCTTTACGGAAACCTGGATCTCGCCATGTAAAACTGACTTGCTGGTTGTAGAAGGATATAATCTGGCGAGTAGATTCTCTAGAGAACACCGAGAAGGGGGCGGCGTATGTATATTTATAAAAGACCATATTGAATATTATGAATGCGAGGATATAAATAGTTTTTCATTGGAATATATAATTGAAATATGTGCTGTTCAAATACCACATTTAAATTTAATACTTGTTGTTATGTACTGGCCAGAGAGTAAAAGAGAAACAATTATAGTAAATGAACAAATAGGAAAAGTACTTAAATTATTAACGACTAAATACAATAAAAAACATATAATAATAGGAGGAGATTTAAACATAAACTTCTTAAGTAATTCCAGTCAAAGTAAAATGTACATCAATTTATTTAAAAGTTATAACTTTGATCAATATGTTAAAGAGCATACGAGAGTAACTCCTACTAGCTCTACCTGTTTGGATCCAATATTTACCAACTTTGATATGACAAACACAACTGTGGAAGTAAAAGAATACGGAATCTCTGACCACAAAGGTACAATAATTGACTTTCAAAAATCCCAAATAAAACAAAATTCAACTGCGTACTATATAAAGAAAAGAATTTTTAACCTGCATAACACTGCATTGTTTAAAAAACAATTGCAGGCTATAAATTGGGATCAAATATTATCACATAAAAAAAGTATCAATCAAAATTACAGTTCTTTTCACGACTTATTAACATGTTTATTAAACAAGTGCATTCCAAAAAAACTAGTAAAAATAAATAATATTAATAAAAAACTGTGGCTAACTAAAGGTATTAAAACATCTTGTAAACATAAACGATTACTACATATATTAAAATCTCAGACAAATAATCCATTACTTAATGATTATTACAATAAATATGTAAAACTATTAAAGAATATAGTAATAACATCAAAAAAGAACCTATATATTAAAAAAATTAAATATTCAAAAAACGTAACGAAATCTATGTGGCAAATAATTAAACAACGTACAAATAAAATAAACAAGCAATGCCACAAGAATATAGGTTTAAAAACGGAAACAAGCAATACAACTGATCCTTACATAATTTCAAACATGCTAAATAAATATTTTGTTTCAGTGGGTAACAATAATAACAAACCAGATCCTGAAGGGCGCCCTTCTCTAAGTTATACTGAAAAAAGTATGTTCCTAAACCCAGTTACGGAAGTTGAAGTTCTTTCTATCTTAAAGTCATTGAAAAATAAAACTAGTTTTGGAATAGACGAATTTCCGCCGTCATTAATAAAACAATGTAAAGAGGAGCTCGTTGAACCCTTAACTTATCTAATTAACCAATCTTTTAGAGAAGCAGCGTTTCCAAAATTATTAAAAACTACAGTTATCAAACCTGTACCTAAACAACGTAACGCAAATGAACCGCAACATTTTCGACCTATTGCACTACTATCTACCTTTTCCAAAGTGTTTGAGTCCGCTATGGCGATGCGTCTAACATCATTTTGTGAAAAATTTGAAATTTTTAATAACTGTCAACATGGTTTTAGGAAGCGTAGATCTACTATTACTGCCCTTTATGAGTATTTTAATGAAATATTTTCAATAATTAACGAACAGAAATATGCTGTAGGAGTATTGCTTGACATGAGCAAAGCGTATGATCGAGTTTCTCATAAAATACTTTTAAAGAAACTTCACTCTATAGGGGTAAGGGGGATAGCACACCAGTGGTTAGCATCATACTTGGAAGATAGGGAACAATTTGTACAAGTCGACTATTATAATTCTAAAAATAACATATTAAGTAAAATTATATCAGAAAAAGATAGGATAGAGAGATCAATTCCGCAAGGTAGCATTCTTGGATGCATTTTATTTCTAATTTATATTAATGATATATCATTCTGTATAAAGGATAAAACTGTCATTTATGCGGATGATATCTCTGTTGTAATGCCCTGCAAATCTAGCAACGAACTGCAAGAAAAGCTAGAATACAATATGGGCGAGATAATTAAATGGTTGAACGAGCATAATTTGGAAACTAACTTTAAAAAAACTAAATTGATACAATTTAAACCTAGACAGAAAAAACCTATTGAAACTAAACCTATCGTCCAAAACAGTAAATTAGATTTTGTTACCTCTTGCACATTACTAGGAATAGAAATAGATTGTAATATAAATTGGAAGCCACATATTGATAGAGTAGTATCCAAGTTATCTAGATTCACTTATGCCCTCTACGAGTTAAAGAAAAGTACAGATTTAATATCAGCAAAAAGCGCTTATTATGCTTACGCAAACTCATGGCTAAGTTACGGAATTATCTTATGGGGTAATAGTACCGACATAAATAAACTATTTGTATTACAAAAGCGATGTATACGTATATTGGTGAATATTACAGACATGGAAAGCTGTAGATCACATTTCATAAAACTAAAGATACTTACTCTTCCATGTATATATATATTTGAAATAAGTAAAATGGTGCGCAAAAATAGACATTTATATAAACATATTAGTGATACATATTTTCAAACACGTAATTTAAGAAATAGAAATAAATTGGCAATACCGTTTACTAAATTACATCTGGTAAGCTCAGGAACATACCATATGTCTGTTAAAATATATAATAAAATACCGAATCATATAAAAAACATTGAAAAAGATTGTACATTTAATAATAATTTAAAACAATTTCTTATAGATAAGTGTTATTATGATTTGAAGGAGTTCTTAAATGATAAATTTTAATGATACCTAATAATCTGTATTATTTTTTGTGTGTGTATGACATTATAAATTTTGTATATGACGTTATAATTAATGATGTTTGACTAATTGATTAGATTTTTTTATGACGTAAATTTGTTGACCTAAACCGAAATTATTAAACTAAATTATAATGAATATTATGTGAATGAATTTTGAATGGATTATTACTTTGAATGTTATTGTTACTTGTTTATTTATTTTTTGATTTGATTGACATACATCTCTTGACCTAACCCTAAATGTATTTTATAATTGCTTTAAGTATAATATGAATTGATTTTAAAATTATATTCTTTTTATTAACTTATTTAAATTTTCTATCTATCTTGAATTGTTATCCTATTGTAATTTTATCAAATTTTAAATTAATATTTGTACACATTTATTATAATTTGCAATGCCCTTGCAGGGCTCATGTTTGCGAGCTGTTATTAAATTTAAGAACGAAATGTAACCAACATGAAGCAATAAATATTATGACTATGACTATGACTAAAATGTAGTGTATTATTATTTATTATTACGTTATTTAAATTAATAACTTATTCTAGTTTGTCAAAAAGATTTTGAGACATTAGCAAATACAAGATTTTCAAAATAATTAAACTTTTACAGTGCGTCTTCGCTTTGATTCAAAGAAGACAAAATCGGAGTTGACTCATCTTCTACTTAATCATTATCAGTTAGAACATCTTCTTGTGTGTTATTCACATTCTCATTGAATTTTATGCTGCTGCAAGAGGTAATATGTGTGGTACGAGTTGGCGATTTAGGCGTATTAAACAGGATAACGAATCGTATTAAGTGTTAACAAATGTATGGAAACATGTCTCAAGTTGCAGGGACTGACGCAAAATGGCGTATTATTCGAGAAATCGTATTAAGCGTGATCGTATTAAACGGGTTCTACTGTACATAAATAAAATTGTAATTCGTTTTTTATGCCATTATTATTCTTATTAGTTATATGATTTTGAACGGTTAGTAGGAAAAAAAAATACTATTCAAAGGAGCTATCAATAAGTAAGTTTGTAAATATTTTCCTTTATCAGTTCATCTCAGCTAATAATAGTAGTTCCTTAAATAAAAATATTATATTTTTCCTTATTGAATGTAGTCGTAATTGCGGCTCGTAATACTTCTAAAAGAAATAACAATGATTTCTCTATATGATGTTGGTTGGGTTTGTTGCGCGTATTACAGAAAAGCTTCCATTGACAGCAAGAATAGCATTCAGGGGCTTTTATAAAGCCAGAATCTAATCTCCAGAAGGCATTGAAACGTTGTTAAAGAAGATACAACAGCTAGAAAACATTAAAGTATTTTTTTATTGTTAGGTTCCCTGGAAAAGTAAATATGCCGGACTTCGTGCGCCGTAAACGTAACGTGTCAGAGTCTATCGCGGGTGAAGTGAGTAATTTTCATCCCACTTATTACTAATATTATAAATGTTTAAGTTTGTATGTTTGTTAGGAAGAAACAGCTGAACGGATTTGGATGTTTTTTTGCACAAAGACAGCCGATAACTTAGAAAAAAAGAGACATAACATATGGGATACTTAGGTCCTGAATGATTTTCAAAAAAACTAAAATTAACTCGGAGGACGTTGCGGATGGCCGCTAGTATATTGCCTAATATTAAAAGTAGGATTTAATTTTACAGAATGTACTGAAAGAAAATGCTTCTTTATTATCAGTCACAAAATGCAGTGAGAAGATATGAAATTATCTTTCAAGGACAAAGATGTTTCAAGGCTGATAAAAATAGATGGACACATTTCAAAAAACGAAAAACATTCATTTAAAACATATTTAGCACAGCTTCTGTCGTGGCAAAAATCGAACTTAGTAAACTTTATTTTATATTATTTTAGGAGCTCGATAGCGCAAGGGGTTAGCGCGTTCCGCTGCGATCGTTGTAGGTAACTTTTGCAGTTCTTGGTCATAGGAAAGGCCAATGCCTCACCAGTGGGAACATTGATAAACACGATGATACTATTTTATGAACATTATGTGCATGCATTAATTTATGGCCCTACTAAGATTGAATATCATACAGGAAACATCCATCGTACATAATCGTTGAGGGCAATGAATTGGAAATACCATTTGTTATTCGTTGCTTGGGGGAGGTTTATACTCAACTTTGTATGGCGGGATTATGCTGATGATGTATGTGATGATGAGGAGCTCGATGGCGCAAGTGGTTAGCGCGCTCGGCTGCGATCGTTGAACTTAAGCAACTTTCGCAGTGGTTTGTCATTGGATGGGTGACCAAAAATTACTATCTCGAGCTCCTCCGTGCTTCGGAAGGCACGTTAAGCCGTTGGTCCCGGCTGCATCTGCAGTCGTTAGCACCCACCAATCCGCACTGGGCCCGCGTGATGGGTCATGGCCCAATCTCCCTATTCCATCCATAGGGAAGGCCTGTGCCCCAGCAGTGGGGACATTAATAGGCTGATGATGATGATGATGTATGTGATGATGATAATGTAGTTATATGATGGCGGTTCTCGCTAATAGAGTTGGAGACTATCCTTAGATCCGCTGTGTAGAGCGTGGTAATATGTGCAGGGCTCGTCCAGCTCGCCAATCTCGGAGGAAGACCAGCTCGCTGCGGAGAGCGAGGTGCTGCAGAAGATCACTGATTACAGCACCGAGGAGCTGTCTACTAAGGTAGTTGTTTATTGTACAGGTAAAAAAAAAGTAAGCTCGATGGCGCAAGTGGTAACTTTCTGGATAAGCAACTTTCTCAGTGGTCGATCAATGGATGGGTGACCAAAATTTACTATATCGTGCTACTCCGTGCTTCGGAAGGCACGTTAAGCCGATGGTCCCGGCTGCATCTGCAGTCGTTAACACCCAGCAATCCGCACTGGGCTAACGTGGTGGGTCATGGCCCAATCTCCCTATTCCATCCATAGGGAAGGCCTGTGCCCTAGCAGTGGGGACATTAATAGGCTGATGATAATGATGATCATCGTAATGTTTTTGTGGTAGTACTTATTAATTACTTTGGGGCTATACTAATTGTTGTGAGTGTGATAATTGCTGATTGATTAATTGTGATGGTGTTCAGGTATCTGGGTTCAGTGCCCTAAAGACCACGACTCCGGTGGAGCTGGACGGTTCGTTGCGCGGCGCCGGTGACTCCTCCGTGGACAAGGTGCGGCCCAAGCTGCGCCGCCAATCCGACAAGAACAAGTCCTTCACCAGACCAAGGTTAGCTCTTCCGCAGCAAGAATAACAATTAGTGTTCCCCCCGTTGGTGCACTGGGCTACCTACAGGCGCGGTCCGAAGCGGGGGGGGGGGGGGGTCACAGGGGACATGACCCCCCCCCCCTAAAATCTAAGGTCATATTGAAAAATCTTAAAAAATTGCCAAATAATAAAAGGAAATTTTTAGTTATCCCCTAACAGCGATAAATTTATAGTTTGCTGACACCTAGTGGTGTTTTTATGAACTACGTACGATGGCCAAAATAACTTGGAAATGACATCTAGTACTAGTTTAGAACCAAGGAACCGAACTACGTAGTCTTGGTAATTCTAGCAAAATCGACATGCGTCGTTCGTCGCAATAATGTTTATTTTATTCCAGATACCTTTTTTTCTTCTTTTTATTAGTGTAGTGAGTGACCTCCTCCAAAATTTCAAAAAAGCGGCCACCATAGCCTATAGACGCTTGTGATATCAACAATATAATTTGCACCATAGCCTACCCTGACCCAATCCCCTACCACGTGGAACCCTGGAACCTTTCTCACAGACAGAAACACAACACAACCAAAAGGTATCGAGTGTTATTTTACTGTGATCTACTGTAAAGTTGAGGTTGCTTCTCCAGACGGGCGCTCCAATTGTGGGCGGAAAAACCGCTATGCCCTGCCTCACAGAACACAGAATATGTTCTGTACCCTACCTCTTAAAGTGTGGATTCGTGGATACTTACGACTGCTGATATAGCTGGACCAACAGCCTAACGTGCTCACCGAAGCACAGGGCAACTCGAAATCGATTCTAGCATGATTCTATTAACTTAGGACTGATTTTGGCATCATTACTTCATTCAGTCCTTTTCATTCATTATACTTAGTGATAGGGATACGCTGCTGTCAGGTTTAAGTTTGCGTTTGGGGGGTCGTGCCGGAATCGACGCCAGTATGGTATATGTTAAGTGGTATTTATTATAGATGTCTGTATCTAATTATCATTTTGTAAAGTTATAAGTATAACAATTTATCTGTATCCGTGTACTGTGCTGAATAAACGATTTTGATTTGATTTGAAATCATAAAGTTTTGGTCACCCATCCGATAACTGGCCATTGTATAAGTTGCTCAACTTCTACGATCGCATATTGAACGTGGTGGATAAATTTCTGTTATTGCAGCATGGCGAGCAGATCGCGCGGCAATCTCCCGCCCCTGGAGCTGGACTCCCGTTCCCGCGTCACCATCATCTCGGATTGCCGGCTGCGGAACTTGCGGTACGTAATGCTGTATTACCATTCGTGCTGACATCATTTTTCTAAGGGCAGATATGGTTATATACAATGGACGGCAACCTAGCGCAATGGGCCAACAGCTGACTAAAAATTTCCTTATTACTACGAACAAGTACCTACTTTATTATTGACAATGATTCCTTTTTTTCTATTGGCAGATTTTAGAAATTATGTGTCTGTATTTTATTATTAGGTACAAATATTGTGGCGGTGAAGTCATTCAACGACGATCTCGTGTTTCCGCACTTAAAAGCGTACAGGGTCTTCGCTGGGTTTTTTGGCGGATAGTATGCTGTAAGCGCTCGTAATCCGGGCGGACTGCTTAACGGCTTCTCCGTTTCGCACCCGCGAGACTTGCGAGAGGCTAAATGTGAGGTAGTGTTACATATTTTGATCCCCCCTTCCCCTTTCCACCACCGGACAACCAGGCGCGGCGAGGGCTTCCTCCCTTATGTTGTCGAAGTTCCTCCCATTCGCACGAAGCGATTAGCTTCGGCCTTCATTATGCGAACGGCTAGGGAGTGGAACTCCTTGCCGAGGTCTGTTTTCCCGGACCAATATAGTCTGAACATCGTCAAGGTCAGAGTGAACAGGCATCTTCTAGGCAGGCGTGTACCATCCTAGGCTTCATCATCGCTTTCCATCAGGTGAGATTGTGGTCAAACGCATAGCCTATTTTGCATAAAAAAAAAAGGTCCGTTCGTTGGTGTGCCCCTTAAGGGTGCCAACGTCTGTAAATAAAACTTTTGCCTGCGTAATAAAAAAAACAGGTACAAATATTGTATGAGAAGGTGAAGTGTGCTCGATTCTGGTCGAATACCGCACTTATTAACAAAACGAAGCCATATCCTACATGGAGTAATTTTGTTACCACCCATAATATATTTGTAATTCATTGTATGGAGACCAAACACGCTTAAACTTTGTTTATTATTAAGGGCCGAAAGTTGAATGGAAGGAGTATTTACGACTAGTTTGTAATAGAGAGTATTCTTGCAGTACATAAGATACTCACAAACTGCTTACAACATGCTTACAATGAGATCGAGCTCAGGTGTGCGTTGAATAGGCAAGGAACAATGTGATCTTTTGATTGCGAGCGCGGCGCGATGGCTTCGTGGTGGGAACTGGGGTGGTGGCCACACGTGCGCCACTGTACACGTTCGGTGCCGAGTGGGGGAATGCGAAACAAGACCATCGTAAAGGGTTTAATTGGGGGGACCATAATTTTAAACAATGTCGGAATTTAATGTTAAAGATATAAATTGCCTTTAACTTTAGTCACCAACGCAAGCCTCGCGTCGCATAGTACAAAATTTTGCTATTTCCGTGTCCTATTATTTAGGTGATACTTTTATTGCTTTGAGAGTGTATGTACGATTTTTAAAACTTGCCCTACGAAAAACAATATTGAGTCATTTAAAACATACAAACATTTCGCGGGCTGCGTGATCGCATAATTTATTAGATACCAATGGTCACCGTCTTGAGCAGTAGTATGGACCACGGCGAACTATCTATTGGAGACTTGATGATTTCGTGCGTCTTGCTAGTAAAAATGCAAAATATTCTGACACGGTTTGTATTGATGGGTTGGAATAACATTATTTAGATCAAATGGTACTTATGAATTAAATTCATGAACTGCCCTTATTATAAGGTTCAAAGTTTTCCTATCTTTAATATAACATTTGGAGACCCTACCCGCAGCACGGAGTGCGTTGACCCGGTCCATATCTATAAGAACATGGTCCCATTCAAATGACATGAAAAGTTAGAATTAAGTCCGATGTAAAAACATCAACTCGTATTTCATCAATACGTTGAATTATGTCCGCGTTTTGTTTATTCCGGGACAGTTGTGAATTTATGCTAGGGCTGGTACTAGTCGCTTAAAAACACGATCGAATTATTAATATAATAAGTTTTATCTGGCTTTTACGTAATGCCATCTGCATTACGTAATCGTTGAACTTACATGATATTTTATGACATAGAAAAGAAAGCGCAATGTCAGTACTATAAAGTTAACATGTCAGTAACAACATAATCACTTCAAAAGAATATAACGCAATTTATAATATAAGTACAACGATTGGATGTATCGGTTTTGTGGTTGGTTCTACTAGTATGAGTAAACGTAGAAAATATCAGTTTTTTCTAATAGTGGAACTGAACTGGTAAAAAATGTCGTTTGCCCTTTTAATAGATTTTAACGGAGAAAAAAAACTTTTAGTTCGTGTAGTTCTACTAAGGGGACTGAGCGGTGAACGGACAACAGTGAAATGAAAGAAATTCATCAGCATTTGGTGTGTTATTGAGGAACATTTAAGAATAACTGATTATATGAAAGGATGGGCATTTGTGGCTTAATAATAATTGTTAAACTTGTGTATTACACAGCATATAAACACTACCTACGTTACCCGGGCTATATCGAGCTTGCGTTCATGCTCCGCGCCGGAGTATGTATCAGAGAAAATATCTATTGTCAACGCACAGGCAGCCTATCCCATACGCATCTTTCTATCATCCGTAATATTGTTGAAAAAAAATATATAATAATTTTTCTATAGTATCAAAAATAGTATACTAAGACTGGTTTTAACAACTCCGCACTTTGTCACAACACCTTTAAACCTTTTAACATAAATTATACAGATAAAATTTATTTATTTTTAAGAATTTAACTATGTATATTTAACTATGTATATATCGATGTTTATCTCTAAAGAAAATATTACTAGATTATTTTTTTCTTTTAATATTTTCTTTAGATTTAAACATCCAGTAGTCACATGCTTAAAAAAAAAAAACTATAACTATAATTGCTATTTCTTCATTCAAATGTTCAATACTTGTAAAAGTATTCATTTGACATAGTGGGTTGCCTACAATGCGAAGAGATGGCGCTGCCATGCAGCTTAAGAAGGGCTAGAAAGAATTCGACACGGCCGTCAGGGCCGCGGTAGCATAACTGGTCAGTGCATTCGCCCGGATAGCGAAGGGTGCGGGTTCAAGTCCCGTCTGCTGCCTGGTCCGCGTAGATTTTTTCTAGTAATATTTTATATAAACGATACATTTCTTTTATAATTTTCAATTGTTAGTTGTTGTTTGACAGCCCTATGATTGGGGTGAGTAGCCAGGTCCCGGCGGGGTCGTTGAACCCACACGAGGTGCTTAATAAAAAAACTTTCCTTCTCCATTCAGATTCAATTATGTTCATTTGAAATTAACCAATTAATTATGAATCGTGACCAGGGAAGAAGGAATTTTTGGTTTCATTTATAATTCAGCCGTCGGAGCATCCAGCACATTAAATTTTAAAAAGGCTCCTGGAAATAAATTTAAATTGAATCGCTCCTCGTGGATAGCTGCGAAGCTTTAGGATGGTTGACCAGTCCAGGCTCATTATGAACGAACAAAAACGGAAATAAAATGGTAATTTTAAACCATGTGACTTTCCGATTTCTTGATCTCTTATGTTCCATAATCCAATTCTCCGTACCTGATATAATTGTGAATGGAGTCCAGTTTTGAAGATAAGAGAGCGTGGCAGAATCATGTCCCTTTGCAGTCATCCTCACCTTGAAGGCTTGAACTCAATCTTTTGCTTTGCGGAATGTTGTCACGCCTCGCACAAGACTCATCAACGCCAGGAGGAACACTTGATATTTTACTGTAGTCTTCTGTAAGGTGGAAGGAACGGAACTCACTTTATCTTTTGTCCTCATTTTACACATCTTTCGACTTTCATCTATTAGTTTTTTTTGCCCATCCGTAGAAGAAGATGGGTCATGGATATAATGATTTTATAATTGTTTACCAGCTTCATTATCAAAACTAAACACTGACTTCGTTAAAACAAATGTACTAAAAAATAATAAATAAAACATTTTCTTGACTTAAGTCTAAAGTACATTAAAATATTCCTAATAAACCGCGTGTAACACCGCGGGGCACAGCTACTTAGTTTTAATATTCACTTTTTGTAAGCCAGAGCAACGTCAACTTACTAAATATAAGTAAAAAAACTATAAAGGATAATATATACTGTTCGTAGGAATTTGAGAAGTTCTATAGAGAGGTTTAAAGAATTTATTCTCATAAAAAAAAAAAGTTCATTTACAATGAGAATACTTAATCACTATTATAAGAGAAGCGCGGCGCAAACACGAAATAAAAAGAAACTATTGTTTATTCCCGAATGTATTTATCAGATCTTCACCAAATTATTATGGGAACACCACGCTACAAACTCTTCCAGAAAAAGAAAAACATCAAAATCGGTCAACAAGCCTTGGTGATATGCGCAGACAACATAAGTATAAAGAAATACATAATAACGAATAGAGGACCTCCTCTGTTTTAAAGCCTTTGTTACCAGTGTTCTTATAATAATTACCTCTGCGCATGTACCTTTTATTGCGGAACAATAGTACAAATTTCGAGTAAAGCATAATACTTATAACAAGTCAATGAATACCGCCTCTGGGTTACATACTCTCATTACGGTCCTTCCTCGACTCGGCAAGAGTTGAATTATCTGCCAAATTTTACTTGTTATTTCAGATACAATGGATCATGAAAGTTATGAGAAATATCAAATTAAAAATGTCTTCAACATGAAGGCAGTGTAGTCACCTAATTAAATAATAAATAAATATTTCCGACACTCACACCAATTAGCCTAGCCCCAAAGTAAGCACTGTAAGGCTAATGTTATGGGATGCTAGGGTAACGGATAGAATACATTTACAGTACATATATAAGTACACACATCAAAAGTGTCTAGGGATCAACATATATTTTTGCAATAACTTTTCTCCTGATTGATATTAATTAAAATTTTCTTTAAGGATTCATCAAATAAAGTGTTTTCGTTTGTCACAGTAACGATAAACCAAGTCACCTTTGCATTAATAAAGAAATTTGCCATTTTCCTAATAAAGGGATTTTTGACATTTGAACCACTAACACAA